GTTGTGGGCAAATCAATCAAATGTTTTTGCATACGAACAAATATTGAACTATTTTCCGGTACTCTTTTTGTGATCTTTGCAGAACCGAGAGTATTAGCTCTGAGGAGGAGGAGGACTGGCCAACTTCACCCATAATTCCAATATTCGAACAATGTTAGTGTCCAGCCACTCAGCAGCACACCACACTGCAAGATAACAGCTGGAGCAGGATTGAGCCACGGAACGGAGACGGACGGAGACGCACGCGGCCACAGCACATCGCACACAAACATCAAATGGAGCCGCCATCTTCCTGGAATGTAATGAAGCAGCGGCAGCAGCAGAAGCAGCAGCAGCAGCAAGAGACACACATATCCCCCTGCATTGAACGAAGAGCGTAAAAAGGATGAGCTGCTGCTGCAGCCACAACAACCAACTGCTGTCGCATTTGTGTGTGCGGTGTGTGTGTGTGTGTGCCGCCAGTGTGTGGATTGAGTGAGCGTTTCGTGTGCGTGCGTGCATTGAGATAGAGGTGATTGAGAGAGTGTGTGTATATTTTGCTAAACTGCATCATAATTATTTTGGCATATACATATATATTATTACCGCTGGTTCTAACATTTAAGAAACAATTGAGTTGTAGGCGAAGAAAAAAAGGCGAGAGAGACAGATAGGTAGCGCACCCCCTTGTCTCCCCCTTTTTGCCAGAACACAGGTTGCCAGAGAGGCGTCGCTAGGCGCCCGTTTGAGAGGCAACTATTTTTTCAATTTATTTGCGGCAGACAAAAAAATACGTGAAAAAAAATCAAAAGCAAAAAAAAATTACAAAAAAAATAAAACAAAAACGAATGCTGCGGACCATCATACAAAAGATTGATGCCGTTCCGGATCATTATTTGAGATCAGAGAGAAGGAGGAAACGATTGCAGAGTTGCCAGCCCCAAAACAAACAAAACCAGACTCTGGAATGGGAATGCAATTTTTTTGGTGGTAACGCAAGAACCGCAAAAAAAAATATATCAAAAAACAAAAACATTACAAAAAAAAACATCAAAAATCATCAAACACACAAAAAACCAATTAGTTTTAGCAACTGTATGTTCTCCCCATGTTTGTGCTGCTCTTATCAGTTCTGTTATAAAACCAACCCCAATCAAAAGGACCCACAAAAACCCCAACAAAAAAAATCATAAAATCTTTAAAAAAAAAAGTACAAAAATTCTCTATGTATAGACAGACCTAAACTTTAAGGTATCAAAAAGCAGAAACCGATCTGATCCGATATCCATAATTTTAGCCGCGCTTGAAAAAACAAAACGATTACAAAAAAAACTATACAAAAACATAATTCGCCGCCTATATTGACTAAGAACTCTTAACAATAACAATACCAATTAAATTAAATCAATTATGCAAGGAGAAAATCCACGATATTGTACCAGTAGTGTGTGTCTAGTAGATTTTTCTCTGTATAACAAAAAAGAAAACCAAACTATTTGCCGCCCGAAAACAAAAACACAAATATCTTTCATTATCATGCGATTCTATGATGAAATCTATTATTAGACAGCTTCGGTCCAGGAAACAAACTAAACAAACAATCAATCAAACGTATTGATGCTCCAAAATGAGTATAAACACGGTGATCCTTTTTTTTAGATTTTACTCCTCCCCTACCCTATATTGTACGAGAATCTACACTTTCTTTTTTGTTATATAATATTATCTAATTTATTAAACGATATGTAAAAAAAACCATACAAAAAAAAAAAACAAGACCAACAAACATATGTTGTAGTACATTAAATATCATCTAAATCTTAGTTTACGAAAACCAGCAAAATTCGAAACCGCAACAAAACCCAATTCAAATTAAGATTGAAGTGCGGCGAACTTTAAGCAGAAATTATGATGCATTATTTAGCAAGATGTACAGAGACAGCGAGAGAGAAAGAGAGAAACATGTAGAAGGAAGAGTAGAAAGGAGATGAGCGTGTGTGGAGAGCATAGACAGACATAAAGGAAAAACTACCGCAGATCAGAAAAATTTATCAGAGAAACATAAAAACAATTTTCAAATTTTACAAATTCTTTTTTATCATCTTTGCCCCCCCGAAAAGGGGACTCACATAGATATATGTGTGCATACGATCCTTGGATCGACACAATTTCTGTAAATTTAAATAAAATGCGCTTGCCACTGTGTCCGCCACAGTGGCAGACACTTTTCAATGAGTATTTACAACAAAATCCAATGTTTTATTTAACTTTGTTTTTGCGTTTGCGTGTGTGTATGAGTGTGTGTAGCAAGACGCGGACCGGGATCAACCCCCCCAAAGTGCAGCTAACGACTCCAGCGAAATGTGAGTACCACCCATCCATATACACCACCCCAACACAAACCGATGCATGACACTCGGACAAATGTAACATAAAACGTTTGGAATTTGCTGTAAATATTCCTTTGTTTAAACGAACCCCAAAAACAATCCCCAAGTTGTGCAATAGATTCGTATTCCCCCCTAGTATATTTCCTCTTCTTGGCAATACTCACTTTCGAGTAATTTGTTCAGCTATGAAATGGAACAGAACACGCCGTCGAACGTCGAGCGCTGAAAATACGAGTAAGCGAAGTTACTTTACCCATATATTTAAGCGAGAGATAAATGTGTTCAATTGCCTGGCAACTCACCACAAGCTGAGAAACAAAACAAACAAAAAACAACAAGATGTGAAATCAATTTAAGCTTAGTCTAACTTTTTGTAAGGGCAAACTGACAAATAAGCGATAAATAATGTTGAAACCGATGATACGGGATGCGGAAGATTAGAGCTAAGTTTTTTTAAAATGCCGTCGACTGCCACCATGCCACGCCCCCGCTGTGCGGCTGGTGGGCGGGCTGAGATTTCAAGAAAAAATACTTGCAAGTATTTCGTATTTTTAAAACTAGAAAATTTTACATTGTATTTAGCGCGGAGTTAGTTAAATATTTGCAATCAAGAACACGAAACAAAAATCTCAATTATTATACAATTAATTTATGTTGAAAGTTCACGGGACAAGAACAGAACAAAAACCGTGTACCCTGTACTAAGATCCAACACACATGTCTATATATAGGTATAATTTTTAGTTGTCTCATTTCCTCATTGGAGCAGTTTGAGCTTAATTTTTGCGAGAGCATTGGTTGAGGTTTAGCCATAGGATTAGTTACGAATTTTAACCGGACGGAAATGAAATCATTCTGTACATTATAAACCATTCATTTTAATTTATTCAAAATCACGGCCTGTAATAAGGTTTTACTTTAAGAGGAGTCGGAGTCCCAAACAAATCATGAACAAATGGATCATTGTGTAAAAACAAAAGAGATAATGTTGTTTGAAAACAACTGAAAATCGTGATTAAAATCATTGTACACACATTACAACAAATAAATGGAAAAAAAAGTATTATTAAATCGTAATCAATATTTGTTTTTTTTTTTTACTTGGGTCTGCTCGTCTTTCTTTTCAGCTCAACTTTCAAAAATGTTCTCAATTTGAATTTGATTGCGATATGATGAATCTATCGATAGTCCCGTCAAGAGTTGCACGGGAACATATTGACGGCCCAACCATCGATGGTATTACTATCGCATTATCAACGTTCCATCAAACATTTTTCATATAAAAAACATAAAAAGTGGTACAAAATCTTTAATTTTTGGAGCGGATCTGTGTCCTACGTGTGCACCGTCGCCGCATTAATTATTTTAACACAAAATCGAATATGAAAATTGAGGAATATGATTTTTCTTGGTATATGTACGGAACATTTAAAAAATGAGGTATATTTTTAGGGTCAGACGGTATATTTGATCAATAAATACGCGGTCACACTGCTGGGCAACATAACCTTCCTTTTCCAAATAATTTTTGTGCTGTGTACACGTGTTCTCCACAATGGCACCCGTCGAAAAAGCTAAGAAAGTCGCCAAATCGGCCAAGAAGGGCAAGAAGCACCCGCTCAACTCGTACCTGAAGGGCGGAGTCTTGCGTTACTCCAAGGCTCAGGTAAGTAGCGTTCCAAACACATTGAAAACTCTTCATTTGAACTTTCGGTTCGGTCTGACGCCTCGGTGACAAAGCGTGGTGGTGTGGCACATCCCACACCGCACTGGTTGGATATGTTTCTGCTGCAGCATGCTGATCGTGTGTGCCTTGTTTTGATTGCAGATGTACAAGCGTCGTGGCCTGTACCGCCTGAAGGACAAGAAGAGCCCTGTGGTGCAGAAGGAGAAGGTGCCAATTAAGAAGGTGAAGAAGATCGGTGGCCCCAAGAACGGCGGTGAGCGCACAGTTTTCCTGAACAAGTCGAAGGCCAACTACCCCACCAAGACCTTCGTGAAGAAGCGTGTCTCCAAGGCCAACTTCAGCGAGCACAAGCGCAACACTCGCCGCAACCTGAAGCCCGGTACCGTGCTGATTCTGCTGGCTGGTCGCCACCAGGGCAAGCGCGTCGTCCTGCTGAAGGTGTTGAACTCTGGCCTGCTCCTGGTCACCGGTCCCTTCGCACTCAACTCGTGCCCACTGCGTCGCATCTCCCAGCGCTTCGTCATCGGCACCTCGTCGCGTGTGGACTTGAGCTCGTACAAGGTGCCCGAGCACCTGAACGACGCCTACTTCCGCCGCCTCAAGGCCAAGAAGGACAAGAAGTCGGGTGAGGCTGACATCTTCGCCGCTAAGAAGGAGCGCTTCGTGCCCAACGAGCAGCGCAAGAAGGACCAGAAGGAGGTGGACGGTGCCCTGCTGAAGCTCATCAAGGCCCATCCTGAGGGTAAATACTTCGCAAGGTACTTGCAGAACATGTTCGCCCTGCACTCCTCCCAATACCCACACCGCATGCGCTTCTAAGCGGTGGACCATGCAACTTCAATTTAAGGATTTTTAAATACTTTGTACAAGCCCGCTGGTTACGAAAACAACAACAAAATGATTTGTAAAATAAACATTACAAAACGGAACACTCTGTGTCGAGGTCGAGGTATGAAAGAAACTAAGCGCGTCTCATTTATTTTCAGTGTCCGCTTTCTTTTCATCGGCTTCGGTCTCCTTGGGATCATCTGGGTACTCCGGCTCCAGCTTAAGGGCCGCCAGTAGCTTTCGTCTGCCATGGACATACCAGAGCATTTCGCGATACGAACGCGGCAGCACCTCGTCCACAATCTTGTCAGCCTTGTAGGTGAGGTAGAAGATATTCGTGGTCCTGTCCTCGCCACTCTGCACATCCCAGATGTGGGCCACCGTCATCAGCTGCACGTAGTTCTTGTTCGTGTACACCACATAGGCGGTCATCTGCAGGAACGTGTTCACCTTCACGGGGCTGAGGAAGCTAATGTCCGAGATGCACTGGAGTATGGGACGGCCGCGCAGATAGATGCTGGCCATGATGAAGCTGATCTCGACGGCCTGCCGCATAATGTAGCCCCCGAAGATGGTGTTCTGTGCGTTGCGATTCTCTGGGAATGGGGATATCATGGTGGTTTGCTGCGAGTCCTGCATCCATCGGCACTTGGGGGGCAGGATGCGTCGATTGAGATCCATGTTGTCCGGTATGGTGGTGCGCTTGAGCAGGTTGTACATAATGGCCTGCTCGTGCTCGCGCGGCGGAGAGTTGAGCACCGATTCGGTATGCGCTGTACGGCGTTGCTTCTGCCGCTTCGCGGCCTCCTTCCAGATGGCCTGCTCCGTCTCGTCGCCGGGCTTCAGGGGATTAACGGGCGCCGAGCCCGTGTTGTTGGCATTGCGAGCCACCATCAGGAAGAGGGCTTTGGTCACATCGATGTACTCGCCGTCCGCCAGCTGCTGCACAAAGATGGTGATCTCCATGGAGCTGCGGCCCGTCCAGCTAATGTGCCCACTCAGGTGTATGTCATGATTGGCCTTGAGGCGCTCAATGTTGCTGAACTCCACCTTGTCCACGAGCAGCGTGACAAATGTATAGGGCAGCGGCACATCCTCTGGGAGATTGGGCAGCAGCACATGGCGGTGGCACAGCCACACGGCGAACATATCCAGCTCCTCCATGACGCGTCCCATGCGTACCCTACCCAAATGATTGACATACCGCTCCCGTATATACTCGTCCGAGCTGAGAGGCAACACGACCGTGGTATGGGAGTCCAGCATGCTGCGTGTCGGCAGTTCCTCCAGCTTTGGCTGGTACTTTAGGAGATGATCGCGCGGCTTCGGCACTGTATGGTAGCCAAAGTCCACATCTACCCGCTTGCGGATGCTCTGTACAACTGTGCAGAGACGGGGACACCGTAAGAGAACACCTCTTCGTTTCGCTCATGCCACTACTCACCATCCGCTAGGTTTCCCGAACAGTGATCGGATCTCAACTTGGGGCAGGAGTCCTCCGGTTTCTTCTGGCTGGCAAAGAATGCGCAGGGCAATAAAGATGCTCTGTTGGAATGACCAGTGGACCAGCACTTTGCTAGAATTCTGCCCGCTCCACGTGCTATCAGACGATGCATCTTGCCGATTAGTTTGCCTTTTTGTTTGCTTGACTGTGCTGGCTGGCCTGCTTGTTGAAAAACTATCACGTAATAAAAACCAATCACATTTGCATAGAGAACTTGCCAGTGGGCCAAGCGATCTCTGCGCCGCTGCAGGTGCAATCGCTCAGAGAGTGGGAGAGATGGTGAGCACGATGAGCGTTCGTAAATGTAGATGTTGATGTTGCCTCAGCAGACGCAGACAGAGGGTCAGAGCAAGTAGATCTAATCACACGTCTGGGAGAAGAAAGCTTTTGGGCCCACAACAGTCTGGGTACGGCACTGGACGTAACGTTATCAGATTAGAGGATTACACTTTATTAAGACATTGGACAGAAGAACAGGGAATATCAATTATCTCATATCATATATGCATATATGTAGCCTCGGTTAATTATCATTGGGTTATGTTTTACTACAGTTGTCTACTTCAGGCCCATGCTGGCCTCAAACTTGCGACGGCCCTGTATGTACCACATGGTCTCGTGGTACGAGCGTGGCAGCACCTCTGTGACTGTATCCGGCGCCGAGAAGGTGTAGTAGAATGTGTTCGTGGTGACCTGATTGCCCGTTTGCGTGTCCAGAACATCCGCCACGGTCATGATCTGCATATAGTTGAGGTTCGTGTAGACCACATATGCGGTCATCTTGATGAAGCTGTCCACACCCACTGGCTTCTCGAAGCTGATGTCGGAGATGTGCTCCAGCTTGGGCCGCTTCTTGCAGTAGAGAAAGGCGGCCGCCCAGCTTATCTCGCTCGCGCTACGCATGAGAAATCCGCCAAAGACTCGGTTATGGTGATTGCGATGCTCCGGGAATGAGGGTATGGTGCTCATCTGGAACGAGTCCGACATCCAGCGGCTATTTGGCGGCAGAATGCGCTTGTTCAGCTCCAGCGTGGTGCTGGGCGTGGTCCGTTTGTACAGCTGATACATGAGCGTCTGCTCGGGATCGTTGGGCTCCACATTGAAGACGGACTCTGCGCAACGGATCTGGCGCTGACGCTTGCGATCTTTGCCTCCGGCCAGGATAACCTTCTCCTCCTCGTTGGCCGGCTGGATGGGGTTGACTGGAGCAGCCGCCGTGTTGATTGCATTCCTGGCGGCCATCAGGAAAAGTGCTCGCGTCAGTTTCATGTAGCTACCATTCACCATTTGCTCCAGCCACACCACAACTTCTATGGAGCTGGTGCCCACCCAGGAGACATGACCGGAGAGACGAATATCCTCGGTGCCGGAGGCCTGCAGCTTGGTAAAATCGATGCGATCCACGAGTATGGTGACAAACGTATATGGCAGATGCACACCCTCCGGCAGATGGGGCAGCTTCAAATGCTTGTGACAGCACCAGGCTGGAAAATATCAAAGCGTGAGCAAATTGATGGACTCTTGAAGGCTTCCCTTGCCCATGTACCTGCAAACATGTCCATATCCTCCAACAGCCTGCCCAGGCGCACACTGCCCAGATAGTTGACATACTTGTCCTGCAGCGTACGGTCCGTGCTCAGGGGCAGAATGGCCGACGTAAAAGAGTCCTGCATGGCGCGTGCCGGCAGGTCCTCCAGCTTGGGCTGGTACTTGAGTAAATGCTCGCGTGACTTGGGCAGCGGATTATAGCCCGGCTCCAGGCCCAATCTCTTCATCATCTCCAGTTTGACTGCAATGCAAGTTCCAGGTGTGAAATGAAGAAGTTTTTAAAGATTTATGCCACATTTGTTCTTACTCTCGGCCATGGTCCCGGAATCATTGGGCACCGCCGATTGCTTGATGTGCGTGGGCGGTGAGTAGTGCCGTCTGTTTGGGGCGGGGTGAAGAGATAGACATCTGATTATAGCCGCAAACCTTGCAAGATTTTCATTACTCTCTCACCTGGACAGCGTCCAGGCAGCGGGCGACACCCTTGTGGTCATCTCGATGAGATGTCTGCTCTGGCCAGCAGTTCTGCTGACCAAACTCCAGCACTTTTGTGCTCCCAACAGCGAACGCAGCATTTTTAGTTTTATTTAAATTCAACTTTTGTGTCTGCAAAAATTCCAAAAACTGCTGGCTGAAACAGCTGACTGGCACAGTGGGCCACAATCGCATGCGTGTGGACAACATAGAGAACGAACAATGGCAACGAAAGGAGTATTCAGAGCAGAACTTGCACCAATCAGGAATATAAATTAGTTATATTTAAAGCAGTTATCAGGCAAAGATTCAACATATTCAAATAACTAATTTAATGTTGCTTAGTTTTTCCAGCAACTGTTTCCACTGTGCAGCGATAGCGATAAATATGACGTCAGCATACCAGGTTGTTATTTTTAAATTTGAAAATCGAGCCTACTTAAATTCGTCTCAAATTCATCCAATTCTAGATGCAGTCAAATAATACTTGTCATCCCTGTCCTTTAACTTTCTGTAACAGGCCATGACTTATATACATATATCAGAATCAGTTCCAGCTCGACTCAATAGAGATCACAAAAGTTTTAGGGAAAGTTTTAATGATGCAGCCGCAAATCCCAGTCCCAGTTCCAGTTCCGGTTGCAGCCAGCAGTGGCGAAAAAGGCCTAAAGGGCGTAATTGCCGGCGCCATCACTGGTGGATTGGAAATTATGATCACATACCCCACGGAGTTCGTGAAGACCCAATTGCAGCTGGACGAGAAGGGGGAATTGAAGAAATTCGATGGCATCGCCGACTGTGTGAAGAAAACGGTCAAGCAGAATGGATTCTTTGGACTCTATCGCGGCTTGAGCGTTCTGCTGTTGGGTAGTGTACCAAAAAGCGCCGCCAGGTAAGGAGTGGCAGAAGGAGTTGCTATAGATTGATGGACCCACCCCACCCTACTGCGGAATAGGTTTGGTGCCTATGAGTTCTTCAGCAGCAAGATGCGCGATGAGAATGGCGACTTGAGCATGACGAGACGCTTCTTCTCCGGCATGTTGGCTGGCATGACCGAGGCAGTGGTGGCCGTCACACCCATGGAGACAATCAAGGTGCGTTTCATAAGCGATCAACGAAGCGCAAAGCCCCAGTACAAGGGACTGTTTCATGGTGTGGGTAGAATCTTCAAGAGCGAAGGTAACTACTATCATAGAGTTTGTGTCTATATACACACATATTACTGACACTTTGTTGCCGTAGGAATTGGTGGGATCTACAAGGGTTTGCCAGCTACTGTGGTAAAGCAGGGCTCCAATCAGGCCATTCGCTTCTTTGTGCTATTTTCGCTGAAGGACTTGTACACGGGCAGAGACAAGACAAAGACGGTGCCAAAAGTGTTGGTTGGTGTGTTTGGTGCCATTGCCGGTGCCGCATCGGTCTTTGGCAATAATCCCATTGATGTGGTCAAGACACGAATGCAGAGCTTGGATTCGGCTAAATACAAGAACTCCTTGGACTGTGCCGTTAAGATCCTACGCCAAGAGGGTCCCATGGCCTTCTACAAGGGCACAGTGCCGCGCCTGGGCCGGGTCTGCGCTGATGTGGCCATTACCTTCATGATCTACGATTCGATCATGGATTTGTTTAATTTAGTTTGGAAATAGATGTCATAATTAATTAAATAGTATTATTAAATGTATTTTCATTCAATTTGCATGATACAAAACGGGATAAGTCCACGCCTATAGCTTCAATTCTTTGAGCGCGAAATTCAGGACCACAGGCAGCAGGCCAGCCTCTTCCAAATCGAGTATCTGTTGCCGTAAATTGTCCCCTTGGCGGTTGGCAATTAGCTGCAAATACATTCACATTTACAGACAATTCTCTGAGGTCATCAATTAACAAAAGTAAACCTACCTTTTTGATCTTTTCGCGTTGCTCGGCACTCTGGCAGAAGCTGAGAATGGCCGCTGCCATGTGAGGTCGATAGATCAGTATGCATAGCTCGGCAAACTGTACGAGATTCAGGGCATGCACCACTGGGCAGCCTTGCAGCCGCAACAGGGTCTTGTGCAGCAGTTCCTCCTGGGCAAAGGAGCGCATCTGCACGGCATTCTTCAGCGGATGGCAGAGCACATAGTCCCAGGCCAAGGCCAGTCCATCCAGATGCAGCAGCTGTGGCCTACAGCTGAGTACATCCAGCAGGGCATTCAGTTCGCGCAGCATATGAAACATCACCATACGCTTGAGTATGCCATTCCAGATCTTGGGCAGATGGATATCAAAGCCCAGGCAAATGTTGGCCATCACCTCCAGTGAGAGCGGATTCTCGGCATTGCGCTGCCAAATCATCTTCAGAATATCGATCTTGTTGCAGTGATCATCGGCGAACTTGTCAATGTTCGCTTTGTAGCCGAGGGCCTTCAGCTCGTGGACGCACTTGATGGTGATAAACTGGCGCTGGCTGATTGTGTTCGTGAAGGAGTTGCTGCCATCGTTAAGCTTCGAATAGCACTCGTACATCTGCAGCTGTGTGGAGGTGTTCACGGAGCTAGAGAAAGAGAGTGGGAGAGAGAGATCTTGCACTATTTTCTTCATATATTACATGTGCTATATTCTACTTACCCTCCCTTGAATATTAGGCCCACCAGGAACTTGACTGCATCCGATTTGGGCCAGCTGCTGAGTATATAAAATGCTCGCACCACATTCTCGCTGGCATCATCGCTGCTGCTGCTGCCGCTGCTGCAGCTGGTGTCGCCGGCACCGTGCTGATCCGACCAGTTCTGATCCTCCAAGAAAGTCTCCTCCAGCATAGTGCTATCCGCCGGCTCCATGGTGACCGAGAGCCACTTCTGCAGCAGGCGGAACTGTATGGAGCCCAGATTAAGATCGTGCAGCTTGGCTATCTCCGTGACCAGGGCATTGATGTCCACCTTGCTGGACTTGATGATCAGCTCGTGGTGATAGAGGCTGTGTATCAGTTCCGTGGGATTCTCCACCAGTCTAAGCAGCTTCTCATCGGTCAGGCCATAGACATACAGCAAGTGCTGTGTCTTCTGTATGGGATATCGACGCTTCACTTTGGCCACCTGCTCCTGACTCTTGGCATCGGTGATCAGATGGCCGCTCTCCTTGATAAAGTTCCAGCACTCGTAGGAGGCCTCCACCATGTCCGCTCCATCGCGGGCATAGTTCGACACAAAGTAGAGTATGAGAAAGGCCTTGTTCGGATTGTGCACCTTCTTCACCAGCCGCAGTATCGACTTGAGGAAGGCATTGTTTGTGGGATGCAGACTCCATGATTCCGACTCGTTCTTTGACTTGTATTCGGCTATTGAATTCTTAACGGCCGACATGCAGAAGTAATCGCAGTTCTGGTTACTGTCCTTGGAGCCCTTGAGGGCCGTATACATTTGGATGAGCGGGAACCAGCTCTGGCAGTTGTCCACATTCAGTTCGCTATCTGCAGTGGGAGACACAAAAACAATAGAAAATCTCTCCAAGGGTTTTCGGGTAACCATTTAGACACATACCGAGTATATCCTTGAGGGGTTGCTCGACAATCGGCTTGAAGGGCAAACGATAGCGGGAGATCTTCGGTAGAACGCTGTTCTCCCGCTGCGACTTGAGCCACATTTCCGTCTCCAGTTGGCCGGGACGATTGCGTCGTCGCGTGATCATCTTGTGGCGCAGAAAGTGTAATATATTGGTCCAGATCTCCATCTCTTTGGGGGCAGCATCAAAGAACATCAAGATGTTGATAACGCACATGTACAGCTCATAGAAATAGATGTTGATCTGGCAAAAGATGGGAAGGATTTAAGGCGTTCCTCCACACGAACTGAGCCCACACAACGCACCTCTTCGATAAACTGCTTTAGCTTGGAGGTAAATAGCTCTACATTCTTGATTTCGTTGATGTATGGCTGGCACATTTCCTTCATCTCCTGGGCGCTGCTCAGCATGACCAGCTCATCGTCGCCGAAGGTGTCGCGCTTGATCTCGAAACGCAGCTCCTGGGCATTCAGGATGCTTAGGATCTGGGTGATGAGAATCTTCTGATAGTCAAAGCCAAAATCACGGCTCATGCGCTCCAGCAGCTGCACGTCCAGCTGCTTGTTGTGGAACTCCTTCAGCAGATGCTCAATGTTGTCCATGTCCGCATTGAACTTTCCCTTGATGCGGGGATCCTGCTGGCAGAACTCCAGGTAATAGTAGAGCTTGAGGCGCCTGAAACAGAAGCCAGGGATAAGCGACTAAATGAAGAAGAGAATTAACCATCAAGAACCCACTTGGCGCGTATTATTTGTACATTGTCCATGTCCTCAATGTGCTCGCTGTACATGGCCGAGAGCGTCAGGAAGTTAATCTTCTGCAGATCGGTCTTTACCTCCGCGGAGAGCTTATCTAGCTGGGCCACGGCCTCGCCATCGGCCACCAGCATGCTGAATAGCTCGATGAAATTTGCGTCCTTGTTGCTCATGGCATTCCGGAAGATGCGCCTCAGTTGCAGCGAGATAAAGCCCTCGTTGATGATCCTTTTCTTTTTGCAGTTTTGCTTCTGATACTCCAGCAGATACTGCGACATCACATACCACACGTCGTGCTCCTTGGCCTTGGTCAGATGCTCCAGCGACAGAAAGAAATCGGCGCGTGCCCCATCGATGTCTGCCTTGACATTCTCCGTCAGTGATTGGCGCACTTGCATCAGCATTGAATTAGTTGGCTCTGCCTCAGTAATCATCACCAGCAGCGTGCGGGCCAAGAACTTGACAATGGGCAGGCGACCACTGATGTTCCTCTACCAGAAAAATAAATACAGGAAATTTCTGCGGGTAAAATGTGCGTCAGAGGAGCAGGCAAAGACTTAGAATACCTTCTGTTGCGGCTGCTGCACTGGCTGCACTTCCACCTCATCGAACATGGACACCGAGTAGCGTTTCTTTGATGTGGTCTGCACCTGCAGCAGAGGTTTCACATCAAAGGAACCATTGAGGGCACTCGTAAAGTTGAGCGTTGTCTCGCCCAAGGCCATTGGCGTGCCATCCAGGGCGTGACAAATGTTCTCATTGATCGTCTGCTCCTTGCCATTGTAGTGCGTGGTGATGGCATCCAAGGGATAGTGAATGACAGCCACACGAATGTACTTGATGAGCTCCACAAGATCCCGACGACGGCTGCGCTCATGCATCAGGGCAGACGTGAGCAGATCATAGGCCAGAGGGAAGCTCAACGGATCACTTTCGGTGATCAATTGCAGCGAAGATGGAGAGTCTACAAAGGGATAAAGAGATAAGCAAATGCCAGACATCCTTTTAGATGCAGAAACACACCCTGATTGTTGCCCTTTGCCGAGTCAATTTGCTGGACGATCAGCTCTAGGGCCAAGTTGATGAAATCACTGCTGTTGGCGGGCAGACAATCGATGAACTGCAGCACATGATAGGCCAGGGCACAGCTGAGGGGCAGACATGCCACACGCTGGCACAGCCGTTGCAGGCCAAACACTTTCGACAGATCCAGTGCTGTGCAGAGTTCACCCATTTCGCTGGCTATAAAAGCGGACACATTCAGCGTGGCCTGCGCCCGTTCAATGATCCTCTCAATGGCCTCAACCAGCAGTTCGTGGCGACGACACAGGGGGATGAGTTCGCCACTGCAGCTCAGCTCAATGTTGAATTTATCGCGCAGATGGAAGCGATGCTTGATGATCAGGTAGCGACGCTCGTACACAGATTCGACGTGAGGCAGAAACAGTTTAAACAGTTCCAGCACATTCAGATGCTCCTGCACTTTGGTTTCGTTGATAAACGACGCCGCGGAGCTGCTCTCCAGCAGATTGACAAAGATCTCGACGACATCCCGGCAATGCTTGTCGTTCTTTTCGCTGCCCAGAGACTTGAAGAACTCGTAGGCCATCTCGATTTGTCCGCGTCTGGCCATCTGGTAGCAGCAGTTGAAATTAGCGCTGATCGAGATCTCTGGCGCCGCCTTGGTCAATGTCCGAATGTCATCCAGCATATCGGGCAGATTCAGCTTCACGATGCGCATCATAAACAGCTCCAGGTTGATGTCCGCCGAGCTGTCGGCCGGCCAGCCGTACTTGACCTTCATGATCTTGATCACCTGTATCTCGTACTCGGCATTGATCTTCATGGCCAGCGGATGTGTCGAGTTGCGGAGCTTGATCAGCGGCCCCAAAGTCTCGGGCCAGGGCACCGGCGCATTCTGCAGCACCGACAGGGCGCACTCCAAGCGACTGTCCTCGTTGTGCAGCAGCTCGATGCATGCCATGGCCCGCTCCAGCCATTTGCTGGAGGTCTGACGGCTGGCCACCAGCTGGGCGATATACTGCTTGATCACGGCCAGTGGCTGGCGTCCCTTCTCCTGGAATATGGGGTACATAAAGTCCTTCACCAGTCGCTGCAATTTATCCAGCTGCACATGCTGCAGTATGCTCAGGGCAATGGCATCAATCGAATCCTGCATGTAGTTGTCCAATGTGAAGCCCATGTTGTAGTTGGTCTTCAGCACGAACAGATCCTGCAACGCATTGACCAGGTCCCGCAGCTTGCCCACATTCCGTTCCTGCTGCCGTCGCACATCGCTACAAAAAAAAGGGAAACATCGTATCTAGGACATCTGAGGATTGCAATGCAATGGTGCAGCTTACGAGTAAGTAAATTGAATTTCCTCAAAAATCTCTAGGATTTTGGTGGAGAACTCAAGGCCAATGTTTGGCCAATGCGTGTTATACTGCAGTTTGCGCGTCATCTCAATGCTCCAGTCGGTTATGAATGGCATAATGCTGGGATGCGTATTGCTGACCATCGGAATGAACTGGCGCAGCCATTGGACCACATTGAAGGGCTTGGTGTTGCTCGGTATGAAGCCGAGCAGTGTGCGTAACTCATCCTCGTTGAGGTGCGGCAGAATGCTGCTCGAATGCCGCCGCCAGATGAGGCAGGCCGTGGGCATATCGGTGTTGAACAGCGACTTGACCACACGCACCAAATTGTTGTCGTAAATGAACTTTTGCCAGTCGCTGTTGCACTCGTACGGATCGGTAATGGCCAGAGTCTTGAGACGATGCAGTTGCTCGTCAATCTCCAGCATATCCTCCTCATCCTCCTGCAAGCAAAAGAGACATCTAAAAGCCAAACCCACAAGCAAAGAATTGCCAGACTCACATCGAAGCTCAAACGTTTTTGAATCTCGCGCAGATAGCGCTCGAGAATGTGTCGCGAGCTCAGATTGATCATGCGATTGTTTTTGATAAACGCTTTGCTCTTAATCTGCGAGAGCAACTGCAGTAGGATCTGGAATTTGGCATCCACCTCGGGTGCTTTCAACTGGGAATCAGAGTTGCAGAGCTCCACCAGTATGCGCTTGGCCCTGGCTTCAAATATCGGCTGAAGGCACAGCTCGAATTGTTTGCCGAATTCCTCGGCCTCTTCCAGCCGGCCCTTGGCCACGAGTTTCTTGAACCGATCACTGGGATCCGTCTCCGAGACGAGCATCATCTCCACCATTGAGGGCAGACTGCTTAGGTTCGCCTCCTTGGCGGCCAAATAATACAGATTGACGGCACACTTTGGCTGGCGCACCAGCCAGGAATGCTCTGGCACTTCCACCTCATTTTTGCATCTCAAGGCTGTAGCATTAATATCAGATTAACCAAACAATAGCTTCAAACGGGTACTCGTACTCACATGGATACTCGACAATTTTCATCAAGCGCCCCTCGTCCGTTGGCTTGGTTAGTATCAGCAGCTCAATGCTCTCCTCGCTGCACTCCATGACCAGCAGATCCTCGATCAACAAGGTCTGACCCTGTGAAGATTTGCACAAATTCACAGTGCGCGTGTACGGACAGATGTCCAGCAGGTGACCAGAGTTAGTGAGTGCAATCCTAGGGAAAATAGGGAATCAGAATAAGCCTAGCCCACGGCTGACTATCGTTTCGAGAACTTACACACAATCATCCAGATTGTAGATCTGTTTCAGGCTGCCATAATGGGCAGGCAGACTAATGCGGGTGACATCATTGGCAGTCGTCTTGAAGTTGGCCGTGCCCTGATCCCCGTAGATGATCAAGCCGGGATCCGCAGCACGCCCTTCTTGGTTATTTTGTGCGGAAATGTGACAAGCCAACAACAGCTGCTTGAAGAGCACAGCGCAGTCGACGTTGCCCAATGGGCGGCCCTTGGAAATGCGCTTGATGGTGACATCGTCGAGAATGGCCTTCTCACAGGCAATGGTCTCGTTCTCATTCAGCGTTATATTCGTCACAGACTCCAAGGTGGACTCATCAATTTCGCTCAAGCTAGAGGGGAAAATCTTCTGTCATCTGCAGGCATCTCTGCAAGGAATCTCTCCACACGATGACTCACCTATAGATGCTGCCATTTTTGCAGGTAAAGTAAAATCGCTGATCGCTCTGATGGATGCTCCTGAAGGTGCCGCCCGTGAGGCTCACATCCTCCAGGTTCACGCACACGCTGAACAGAAGCAATCCCTTGATGAACACACCGTGCACCTCGCCGTCGCTGAGGCCGCACACAATCAGAGTGCCGCTGCTGGAGATGGCAATGGCTTCGATGTGCGCACTGAAACTAAGGAAACTGCACTTGGCCACCAGTTCGTCCTCCAGTAGCAGCAGGCTCTTGTCTATGGCTATCACCATTTTGCCGCATTGCACTGATGCCAGAACCTCTGGATATTTCTCGACCTAACAAGGAGAAATTACAGCATAGCAAAGCTAACTGTTGATTCGGTTTAAATGGCGGCCCTTACCTCCTCCTCGCTGCTTATCCGGAACATGCCGCGCGAGGAGAACACATTCGAAATGGTCTCATCTTCACAAGGAGACGCCTCAAAGTTGCTCCACATCCTGCAGTACTTTGCTTCGATTAAATTACGAATTAGACCAAGTTTAAACAAACAGCGCCAAATAAACAAGCGTCACCCTAGCTAGAGATGGGATTGTATTGATAGTAAAACCAGTTATCGGCCGGTTCGAAACGAGCAGAAATTATTTGACAGTGTTTGCATTATAATAGAAGTCAACTAATTAACCATTTAACAGTCAAACAAGATTAATTGCATTATTAATATACGTTTCCTGCATTAATTTATTGCTTGCCGATGGGCAAACATGTATTTGCGGGCTCTGGTCCCTCTTTTCGTCTTGTGGAATTCCGGCATTTTGGGTTTTAGCGAGATACGGTCACACTGGCTGGCAGGCGATGAAAATTATTTATATTTTTTCGCTCTTCTAACGCAAAAATAAACAAAATAAACAAAGTTAGATGCATTAATGATAAAATCCGACACAGTGCGTCCCCACTGATACCCGATAGTGTGTGCTACGTAGGGCCGCGGCATAACTCAAATCCGCTACGCTACTCATTAAAAGTTGATGCTGCAGTAGCGCAGCAGCGGCCATCAACAAAAAAGAAAACCATCAAACTCAATCGCGTGCAAAGTACAAAAAGTGTGTATTGTTTAATAATAATTGTCGCCAAACATTATCGTGGGCGTAATATTGGGAACTATACCCCAAAGTGCTGCAATTAAAGGCCAAACGCAGCGAATTGCTGCCGCGGCGGTGGTGCAAAGAGAACATAAAATCGCTGGCAAGAAGAAGAGCAGTGCTGGTGGCGCTGTGTGAGAAAATAAAACAAAAAAGACAACGCGCATTGCAGCGTAGCGTCCACTTACAGTCCGCATCCACGCCAATTAAATCGGAAGTAAAATAAATATAAAGCCAGCACGTAATTGCAATAAACGACGAAAAAGATCCAGTGCATATTTGTTTTTGTGTGTGCTGCAGCCGCCGCTGCAGGTGCTGCTGCTTGGCTTGGCGCTTTCGAGACAACACGACGCTGCCAACGCTGACGACATGCGCGCGTAGAGTTGCCAGCACCAAATTGCAAAGGTTGCCGTTGTGCCGTTGTTCCGTGCCCCGTGCCGTGCCTTTGCTTGGGAGTAGTTTTTGAAAATTCAGTTGTTCTTGTGCAAAGATGATTCGGTAAATATTTGATAAATATCTGAGGAATCAACAGCCAAAATTACTCACGCTTTGCTCTTCTTTTGCGTAGGTCGATATGCTTTTGGCGGTCCCAGGCCGCACCAAGTGGATAACAGGCGAGTGAGAGCAGCAGATCACCGATCACCGTGAAGCGATTGTGCGCCACCCAGCCAAATCACCACCGGACCACAGCAACATAAGCATCAGCATAGCGCGCCGCATCGACAGTGCAGTCCATCCTCGAGCCGCAACTCTTCTCTTCTTCAACCCGCGTCGAGATCTCCAGCGAGGGATTGACGACGCCGCTTAGATAGAAATTTCTTCCCCCCGTAGTTAAAGAAAAAGCTGCCACCATTCGGAAGAAAAATACCTCTAATATGACCCATAATCTCGGTATGGCGCCATATCGTTTGCCGGGTCCAGCAGGCGGTCTCTGTCCGCCTGACTTCAAACCGCCGCCTCCGTCGGATATCATCTCGGCGCCGAGCAATCCCAAGAAGCGGCGGAAAACCTCGAATGCCGCCAACTCGGCTGCTGCGGCAGCGGCGGCGGCGGCAGCAGCTGCGGCCGCCGCTGCCAATTCAATGCAGCAACAATCAGCACCGCCAACGCCACAGGATCTGTTGCCGCCACCGCCGATGGGCGGCTTCGGAGACACCATTATTGCCTCGAATCCCTTTGACGACAGCCCCCAGGTGTCGGCCATGTCGAGCTCGGCCGCCGCGGCGATGGCGGCCATGAACCAAATGGGCGGAGGTCCTGGCGGACCAGGACACTTTGGCGGCGGCCACCCGCACCCGCACTGGGAGGACCGCATGGGCATGGGCGGTGGCCCGCCACATATGCACCCCCATATGCATCCGCACCACCCCGGCGGACCGATGGGACATCCCCATGGACCGCCCCACCACATGGGCGGCCCGCCGCCGATGCGCGGCATGAGTCCAATGCATCCGCATGCGATGGGACCCGGACCCGGAGTGGGACTGCCACCGCATATGAACCATGGCCGACCTGGTCCTGGTGGCCCCGTGCCAATGGGCAGTCCAATGGGCGCTATGGCCGGCATGGGCGGAATGAGTCCAATGGGCAATATGGGAGGACCAAGCATATCACCACATCACATGGGCATGGGAGGACTCTCGCCGATGGGCGGTGGTCCGAATGGACCCAACCAGAGGGCCATGCAGGGCTCCCCGATGGGAGGAGCTGGTGGTCCTGGCCAGAACTCGCCCATGAATTCGCTGCCCATGGGCTCGCCGATGGGCAATCCGATTGGTAGCCCGCTTGGACCACCATCCGGAGGTCCAGGGCCACAGCAACAGCAGCAGCAGCAACAACAGCAGCAGCAGCAGCAACAACAACAACAACAACAGCAACCTCCGCAGCCACCCATGAACAACGGACAGATGGGTCCGCCCCCGTTGCACAGTCCGCTGGGCAATGGACCCACGAATCATGGCAGTCATATGCCAGGTGGACCCGGTCCGGGTCCTGGTCCTGGGCCCGGTGGCCTCGTCGGACCTGGTGGCATGTCTCCCGCAAATAACAACAACAGCGGAGGCGTCGGCGGCGGAGGAGTTGGCGGTCCAGGCAACAACATGCTCGGCAACAACAGCAACAATGCAAGCAACAACAATCAAAATCCTCATCTGTCGCCGGCCGGTGGCCGTCTCGGAGTGCCCACGTCACTGCAATCGAATGGCCCCTCATTGTCGGCCGCCTCCTCGGCATCGGCAACGGGGTCGACGCCCACGCTTACATCGACAGCGACGACCGCCAGTTCGATGTCCACGTCAGTGCCTACATCCTCGCCAGCGCCGCCCGCCATGTCACCGCATCACTCGCTGAACAGTGCCGGCCCCAGTCCGGGCATGCCCAACTCTGGTCCCAGCCCGCTCCAATCGCCCGCCGGTCCGAATGGTCCACAAAATAACAATAACAATAACAATGGACCCATGATGGGCCAGCAAATGAACCCGAATGTTCCTATGCAACAGCAGCAGCAGCAGCAACAGCAGCAGCAGCAACAACAACAACAACAACAGCAGCAGCACATGGGAGGTCCTCCTGGACATGGACATGGACCCGGACACGGTCATGGGCATGGGCATGGACACGGCCATGGTCACGGTCACGGCCATGGCCATGGACACGTCCCTGGCATGGGCATGAATCAGATGTTGCCGCCTCAACAACCATCGCATCTTGGTCCACCGCACCCGCAGCTAATGAATCACCCGCACCATCACCCGGGTGGACCGCCGCCGCCCCATATGATGGGTCCCGGCGGACCGAGCGGCGGCATGCATGGTGGTCCCGGTGGCATGCCACCGCACATGGGTGTCGGCGGCGGCCCCAATCCCCATATGATGGGCGGACCGCATGGGAATGCGGGTCCGCACATGGGACACGGCCACATGGGTGGTGTGCCAGGACCGGGCCCAGGACAAGGCGGCATGAACGGACCCCCGCACCCGCACATGTCGCCCCACCATGCACACGCACATCCCCACCATCATCACAGTCCCATGGGTGGCCCTGGCCCCAATATGTTTGGCGGCGGAGGACCTATGGGTCCTGGCGGCCCAATGGGTAACATGGGCCACATGGGTGGCGGCGGTCCAATGGGGGGACCGATGGGAGTGGGTCCCAAACCGATGACAATGAGCGGCGGCAAGATGTATCCACCCGGCCAGCCGATGGTCTTCAATCCCCAGAATCCCAATGCGCCGCCCATATATCCGTGTGGCATGTGCCACAAGGAGGTGAACGACAACGATGAGGCCGTGTTCTGTGAATCCGGATGCAACTTCTTCTTTCACAGGTAAATTACCAGCCAGCGCAGTGCGGAATTATCAATTGCGAATCATTAAAGGGTTTCCCCGTAACTTGACGTAAATCTTTTGTGTTCTTTCTCTCCTTTCGCCAATCGCAGAACCTGCGTGGGCCTGACAGAGGCGGCCTTCCAAATGCTCAACAAGGAGGTGTTTGCAGAGTGGTGCTGCGACAAGTGTGTGTCTTCCAAGCATATTCCCATGGTCAAGTTCAAATGTTGAAGAGCGCGGAACGGAGGAATGCAAGAATGAAGGAAGGCAGCAGAGGAACCTATCAATCAACGACCACCAGCTAGCACTCACTCACTGTATAAAATATCCAAGCATACTCTACTATCTTAATTGTACAATTTAAGCTGCTCAAAAGTCAAGTCATGTACCATCCCCCCACGATTACCCACGGGATATCTAGGCCGAGAGACGATGGCAGGCCCGAACTAAAAGTGCCGGAGCAGTGTTGTGACTTTCAGCTCCGGGCTCTCAGGATCCCCCCACACCTCACCGCCCCCCTCCCCCACCACTCGGCTCAAAATACAAATCCTCTTAAAGCGCAAGCAAGCAAGCAAGCGAAAAAAACCTTAACGAAATCTGTAAACGAAATATGTTTAATTGTAATATAAATGTAATATGTACTATATATGTATGTATGTTCGTTCAGCAAGGAGAAGAGCAATCAAACCCAGACCAGACGGAGCCAGCAGTGTGCAGTGTGTGCCCCGTGCCCCTTGACAGGGCAACAATAACCCAAGCTGATCAACAATCTAGTTTGTATTATAAATCAAAATTTGATAACCTAAGCGCTAAATGTACGATACAAATGAGAGGCAAAACTTGAGGAAAACACACACACACACCAGCCGTCAGAGCGTCTCTTGCCTTTGGTCGTTTGTCGGTGGGGAGGGGGAGAATTTAAAACACACACACACACATAGACAAATACACAAACACACACACACACATAATTATATATAACTACATGCATATATCTAATGACATATTTAAATAAACAACAAAAAATGGAACGACACATTTGACGACGGAATGGATATATAGTATAAAGAAATTGTAACGAAATGAAATTATCATTGTGAAATTTGCTGCAAAGGTGCGTGCATGAGTGTGCGATTATGGGAGCGTGTGTTATTTGTTAATATACATTTTATTTTATTTTTTATACCTGCGTGTGAATCTTACATTTTAAATAATTGATTGATTGATTGAACGAGGTACATTTTACACAATTAAATATAGCAAAAAGAGTCGCGTAAATCGATTGCGAACAAAAACGAAAAGCACAAGAAATTATAAATTCATGCGACAGAGATATAAACAAAATTTGTACTTTAAGACGAATGTTAAAAACGCAGCAAACAAAAAAAAAAGAGAACAGAAGAACAGACGATTCAAGAAGGCAAAAAAAAATTTGTAAAAATAGGAAAAACAAAACAAGTACTCTAGGATATTGCAACTTTAAGTTATTTATAATTAAATAAAACTACAATATAAACACAAAAATAAAGTAAGAATGAGTTTTTCAGATTTCGTATTTCTTTTTTGGGGTTTGGTCTACGAATCGGTGGATTTTTCTATCATTTACTCTTTTTTTTTATCCCTAAATCATTTGTCCCACGAATGAAGAATGTCTGTTCGCTTATGGAAAATTTAAGCAGCGAATCAATTCGATTTATGCTTGTGAACCTCATCCTTTTATGCTCCAAGAAAGGGTCTAAAATAAAATATGCTTGGGCATTCTCTTTTAAAGCAGCCACTTGTGCGTGTCGAGTCCGAGCCGCTTTATGTGCAAACAATAAAACACTCAAGCGCAACTTTGATTGCATTCCATATACATGTATATATTTATAGTTTTAGTTTTATACTTAGGCTAAATGCACAGGCCAGGCTAATTGGGGGGGCAGGCATTAACATATACATACAATATATTTTAAAATTTAAATGATGCTGGAGCTGGATGCTACACAAAGCCCCTACGTTTTGGTAAAGGCCAATAACAATTCAAATTAAATTCAAAGAATGTTTGTGTGTATCGCTGTCGGCAAAGCCATTGCATTGGAGTGCTTGCTGGCAGGTAAGGGCCAATGGGGGTATGTAGGGGTACAAATATTACAGAGACAATCACTTAAACGTAAAAAATTATGTATTTTTTGATTAATTTTTTAAGGTTTTCTTTATGGTTGTTGTTGTTTATATTATATTGACGGCACGCAGAAACCAGACGAGATTCCTGCATGGCTCGCTGTCTTATCCGATGGCCGCTGTTATTAGCTCTGCTACATCCTGATCTGTGCTGCGCACCGTCAGATTCAGCGTAACGCCTTCGGAAAGTGCCAGCTTTGCCCGCACCAGAACCTCGGCGCCGCCTCTAAAGATGCCTGCAAAATCACAATAAAGAATATAAAGATTCGATTCTGATCGCTTGAGATCGAGATCCATACCCGAACAGAGCAGCGTATGCAGGTGTGTGCCTTCGGGCACTTTTTCGGACAGATTTGCAGAGCCCAGGCCAAGGATTTTCATAATAGTATTGACAGCATCCTGTAGCGTAGTGACGGCCGACAGCACAAACGTATCCTCGGCTTGCAGCCACTCTGAGGGGGATGACAAAAAGAGAGAAATAAATATTCATGGGACTTTTTCAGGTACAGTTTTCAAGGGATTCCTTTCGTACCTTCACTATCGGCTGAATCCCAGGCCACCTGGAAGTTGTTCTTTTTCGATTTCTGTATCTGATCGGCCACAGTGATCTCCAGATCCTCCAGCATGTACTCATCATCATAGCCCTCTTCCGAGTCGGGCTCTCCGGTGTTGGGATCGCAGTCCTTGACCAAAAATCGCAAAGTGGCCCCAAAGGTGGCTGAAAGAGACAACACAGAGAGTGAGCACAGTCTGAGGACACTCTGGGCGAGCGTCTCCACTCACCTATGGAACTGCCCGCATCTGGTGGGAACTCCACAATGACATATGTCGTCTGCAGTTCGTTGTACGGTAGCTTGGGGCAAGGGATGACGGCTCTGGTGGTGAAACCCTCGGGCAGGGTCAACTCCACGCGCACATTCTCCAGGAACTGATCGGACAATGTGTTGAGGCAATCGAATTGGAAGACCACATGCGCTCCAAAGATGTGCTTGATGCACTGCACCGTGTACTCCGTCTCGCTTTCGGTCAGCTGTATGGGTGCCGTGCTGCGGTGCACGGGTCCGAGCACCTGAATGCCCGGCAGCTGGGCCAACCGCGATGCACTCTCCTCCTCGCGTGTGATCTTCGGCGGTCGCGGTGCGCTGGTGACCAGCATCACATCGTTGCTGATCTCTGTCCGGACAATGGCCGCGGCCTTGGGCACAATGGAAATGTCAAAGCGCTTCTCCAGATCCCCGTTCAAATGATCCACCAGAGCCTTCTCCAGCAGCGCCAGCGAGCAGTTCTCGCGCTCAATGATGTAGTTCTTGTAGAGATCGGCTCGCTCCGAGTTGAGGATGCTCAGGTAGTATGTGGCACGGTCGCGCACCTCATCGTCCGGATCCATCTGGCAGCGGCCAAGCAAAACCAAAATGTTGGTAAGCAAAGCCGGACAGGAGGCTCCAAACTGTGAAAGAGCAGTCACAGCAGCCGCACGCACAATGGGGCTCTCCAGGATAACACGATTGTAGATGAAGCGGATATACTTGGAAGGTGTGGCCGCAAATGGTCCCTCCTTGCCCAGCAAATGGAGAATGCGCACCGCCAGAGAGACATGCTCACAGTCCTCAATGAACTCGCAGAGATGCGACAGGCCGGACTCCTTAGCGTCGACATTCTCCTCAATAATCGTAATGATGGTGTCCACAATGGATGTCTTGTACTCCAGGCCGCCTTCCTCGCGTAGCATGCCACTGAGGAAGTTCATCAGGACAGTGTGCTTCCTGGGATACTTGGTGCAGAGGGCGCAGATGGCCTGGACCACCACCACCTTGAATTCGTCGGAGATCTCTGCCACAAATGTGGATATCTGCTTCATCAGACGCTCCACCGACGACTCGGCGCCGGTCTTCAGAAGCGTGGTAATTGCCAAAGTGGCCACCGATCGATTGGAGTCCGTGATGAGACCCTCCAGATCCAGATTGCATGTGGTCACAGCTGCCGGATGGGTCATGGCCACCTTGTTGAGCGTGCGAACCGCAGCAAAGCGCAACGTGGCTTTGGGCGAGCTGCAGAATAGCTGGAGAATGGAGAAGGCCGGCGAGAGCATGCGATGATTGGTGTTCTTCAGATTGACAATCGCATGGGCTGCCTCGTAGATGACCATCTCGCTCTTGTGGCGCAGACAGGTCTCGATGAAGGTGAACAGTGGCGAGTCGGACAGCTCCTCTGAGGGTATATCCTCTTCCTCGATGAGTTTACAGGCAATGCGTATCTAAAAGGGATTACAGAAACATTCCTTAATCAAATGTCTAGCATTAAATGGTGTATTCCGTCACTTACCAGCATGCAGACAGCATAGGGACTCTTCAGGGAGCTGCGCGTCAGTTTGTTGACCAGCTTCGAGACCGCCAGGCGATCCGATTTGCGAATGTGATAGAGCAGACCCAGCGCATGGTACTGCACCATAACGTTGTCGCTGTTCATTGCCTCTTGGGCCTCGTTCGCCCAACGCTTGACCACATCGCCGGCGGTGGTGGCCAGCCGCAGCGAACTGACTAGAGCGGCACAGGATACGGCCGCATTCTTATCCACGATGCACTGCTTCATATAACGCTCGACAGCCTGCAGCATGGTGTGATCCGTGATGCTGCAAAGGGCACGAATGGCAGCCGCACGATACAGATCCTCTTTGCCGGTCATATCCTTGGTCAGCGAACTGGTGACAATAATCACATCCTCGGCCACCGAGCTCAGCTCCTTGATGCCCAAATAGACCATGCGACGCAGCACCACATCCTTGGACTGGAACAGCTTGGTCATCGCAAAGAAGCAGTCGGTGGCCTCGCGTGGCGCCAGCGTCTCGCCCTGATTGATCAGGTAAAGAATCTTGGTGAGAATGTGAATGCATTTTCGTGCATTCACCGGCGTCTCGTTGAACGTGCGCGTCTCCTGCAGCACAGACGTCTTCTCCAGGTTCTGGTATGCATTTGTCGGGCCTGGGCGTTGTTTTTTTAGGGAGGAAAAATATTTCATGTTTTCCGTCAGTACATACGAAATTTGCTTAATAACTTTAGGAGTGTTTGTTCCTGTTTCTTTTTGTTTTTGTTATATATGTTCTGGTGTTTGTGTAAGTTTTAGTGGGTGTTGGGTGTGTGTGTAAGCGGGTGTGTGTCTGCTGCTTGCCAGCGGAGCACCTTTCCCACAGAGCCAGGAGTTTGGTTCCCTCTTATCGGTCGTACTGGGGCGCTTCGTTCTGTGCGATTAGTAAGTTCTGGACGTTAAATGGCTACTTACCGTCTTCCTCTTCGTCTTTGTCGCGGCGGAACGAACCCATTATTGAGAAACTTACTTAAAAAGCTTTAATAAAAAACAAATAAAATGATTTTTCGGCCTGCGTTTACACGTCACAAGTGGATTTATCGATAATTCTAGGAAATATATCGTAATAAACCCAAAAATGTACACCGATATACCATAAATTAGAGATGAGTGAAGGCACTTAACCCACTAAACCACCTATATTTAAGCATATGTACAACATGAGTTAAGCCGCGTAAAATAATACTGTTTGAAAATGTTCCTTGTGGATGAATCATTCCTGTTTAATTTAAACACGAAATGACTCCGTGGTTTTGTGGTTTTGTGGAACATATAACTTTATCCAATAGATGCATCAATTTAATTACTCTTTTTTATTGACTAGTTTCTGCATAATACATATATAATACAAAGCTTAAACTAAAAGTGCATTTATCATTTTTACTTAAGCGAAAACCTCAACGTGAGATCACTCTGTATCAGAATTAACAGAAATCCAGTGACTGCCGAGAAAATGGTGTTGACCAACGAGCTGTTCAGCTCCAGTAGTCCCAGTGGCATCAGTTTATAGTCGAAGGTGGACACCTGTAGCCAGAAGGAGTTGACCACTTGCTTGAAACGCACATCAGCATGCTGCAGATCGATGCATTGCAGGAGATCTCCAGTTTGCTTGGTCTATAAATGATCGAAATCCCATAATAGATATAATTCTTGGTGTACTTGCAGCGCAGCACTTACCTCCTGCAGCATTTGATTGCTTATACGAGAGACCAGGATGAGTTCCATGAATGGCACCGAAAGAAAAATCAACTGGACAATGGCTTGATGCAGATCAAAGGACTCCTCCTCATTGATGTAATAGTCGGCAATGGCCAGGTATTGATTGTACAATCCCATCGTGATGCCAATCAGATTCATGACCATCGATACGACCATGGACCAGTCGGTGAAGCGAAGGTATCGACTGGAGCAGGATACCGTAAGGGAATACTTGATGGCCAGCTCATCGAGATTGTCGGCCAGTTCGCAGCAGCGTTGCATGCGGTAGTAGGGCTTCTGCAGCTCCATCTGCAGTGGTGTCTGCATCATGTTGACCTCCCTTACAATGCTGCGTATCCGCTTATTGATGGCGGTAGTTATTAGATTGGCAATCACTAGGCCGCCAAAGAAGCAGTTGTTAACCTGATTGGATATTATCAGAGGCAGCATGGTTCTAAAAGAGGCAAGGCTGGTCCATTCCCTGTCCGGATGGGCTCGATGCTGGTAGAGTATCAATGTTACGTACACAATCAACGGACACAGCACCATCTTCACGCCACTATCTATGAGTGCTCGCCACACCATCAGCATCGACATGTCCAGGGCATTGGACACACGAAAAAGGGGAACACTGTTCTGGAAACGTACAAAGCTTCCCGTGATAGCCCACTGTGTGACATAGTTGAGCAGACAAATGCAGACATTCATGTAGCAGTATATCTTAATGGTGTCCCTGCTGGTGATGCGGCCACTGGTGAACTCTTCATACACCTGCAGCACGTAGTAAACGCCAAGGCCCAAGCCCACCGAAATGCTGTAGACAGCCAGCGGCTTCGAGACTAAAAACTTGCCACGCTTCAAACTAAAGCGGCCCCAGTAAAGTCCGTACAGAGTGTTTAGAAATATGGTTATGGATAGACACGACAGCACTATTTTACTGTGGACTTTCCAGCGGTCAAAGCGACGTGGTAGTAGCCGTAGCTTTGGTGTTGTTGGTTCCTTCAGGATATCCATCGTACTAAATTGTGGCGAAGTCGTCGCTTGCACTACGCCACTGATTTAATTGCCGTTTAATTAGGCTTCTTCCTTATCGCTGATTCAATGAAATCTTTCGTAATTACTTTGATGAGCCAAATCAAATGAATACAAATAATAATATTATTGAATTTGAAAGAAGCTCTAATGGGCTATTTCCAGAGCTAAGTGCAAGTTTTAAACTTTAAATTCAAATTCAAATAATTAAAAATAACGATATTCTGCCGCATATACGTCGATTTGATGATCCAAAAGACGCAAAATGCGATATTCTATATTTAGAAAATATCGTCCATATCGATATATTGATATAGTATCAACAAATCTAATTTTATAAAAAAACCAATATATGGGAGTCCCTAAAATAAGCCAGATTATAGAAAATTGATTCATCTATTTGATAAAATGATATTTTCAGTTGTTAAAGTCCTAACTAGTTAGTAATATGAAACTGAATATCAAAATTATGGAATACGATTTCATTCAATAAAATAGAACGTTATCCCATTGTCGGCCAGGGGGGTACTTAATATTTCCACGAAATTGTTTGAACTTTAACATATTTTACGCATCACAGGTGAAAGATGTCGGTGGCTATTTTTGTTTTGTAAGTAAAGAGCAGGATGAAGCTACAAGCAACCTTTACAAACAGTATTATTTTCCGCGGTTTAACAATGGGTGCTCAACTTTTTAAATAGAGGGGTGTTAAGTGGGTTAAATCAACGGTATGGTATTAAAATGGTATTTCTCGAAGCTGAAATGGTATTTAATGGTATTTCTCGAAACTGATTTGGTATTTAATAGTATTTATTTTTTTGTCGCTGGCTGTAAAAACATAAAATCTGTGCCTGCCTATTTCGCGTTTCGCGTCCCTCCGTGTGTGTGAATAATCTAAAATGAGATAGAATCGGGAAAACCACCAGATAGAGCGACCAAAGCAGCAGAGAAAAACCGCCCAAGCACACCCCCTTTACGCTGCTGCTGGTGCTGGCAACGCTGCTAATAATTTCTCCGGGGGCGCTCCGCTGGACAAAGTGTTTTGGTTAGCGTGCGCGTATAAATAAATAGCATAGCAGTGAAAAATAGCAAATAGAAAGTGTATACCCCCACACATGCCTGTGCCACCAACCTGTGCCTGCGTCCCTGCCCAGCCCCTTCACGGGCCTGTTGTGTGCGCGATTTTCTGCGTTGAGCAATAGAGAACACAAGGTGCAAATATGTTTACCAAAAAATCGCATGCAGACGTTAAGAAGTCGACGGCCAAGCTACAGGATTGCAAAAAGGATTCAGCCTCACGCCTGCGACATCTGCGCATGATATTGGGTAAGGTCGTCCCCAGAGGCAGAAGCAGAAGCAGAGGCAGAGGCCACCGTCCACTGTGTTGGCGTTGGTTCAGTGGTTCGAGTGTTAATTATTTCATAATTTATTTGCATTCATAGCAATGCCAATGGTCGGAATGGAATGGTTTGTCCGAGTCGCTGTGGTCCGGTGGTGGGCGTCGCTCGAACCATTTTGGGTTAGCTCAATGACGTTCTGCCCACAGACCGTAAGTGGGGGCCACGCCAGAGCGTTGGCCATTTCCTGTTGGGCGCAAAAGAACACAAGGCACACAGTTCTCTCTGTCTCTCTCTCTTTCCACGCTTCTCTGTTTTTCCATCAGGCAACATTAATGTATGCAAAAAAATAACGCACACATGCTACGATGCTCCTCTACTCCGCTACGCCGCAACACCGCTATGTGGCAAGTGGCGGGATGTGTGAAAAATCCACGTTAAATGATAAACGAACAGAGCGCGCAAAACGCTATAGCCCAACGGCAACTGCTGTCGACGAGTTCCCGTTCAAGTCGTGTAGATATGACCAATGAATGTGCTGTGCTGTGTGCCCTCCTTCTAGCCATTGCTTACTCCACCTCCACCTCCTCCTTGACTCTGACTTTGAGTGGCTTTCTTTTTGTGTCACTGAACGAACGATTTCCAACAGGTGCCGCAGCTATTGCTCTCTGGCTATATTGTTGGTTGGTTGGTTGGTTGTTGGTTGCCTTTGTCCCTTGGCAAATTACACGCATTACACATTCTTCCCATTGCGCTGAGCGTTTCCAATTGTTGCCTGCCTATTGTTGTTGTTGTTGTTGTTGTTCTTGTTGTTGTTGCCACACAATAATCATCATCATCCACTGCGCGCGGCAGACATCTTCGTTTTGGCCTTCTATGAAACCGGTTTCACAGAGGTTTCTTATTTGGCTTTTACTCTTTGTTTAGCTTTCTTCTGTTTTGCAGTGTGCTTTTGCCGATGACAGCAGCCGGCACTCTGGCACCCTGGCACCCCACTCCGCCTCCCATGATTCATACAGCAACAAGAATCGCTGAAACACTGGCACCCCTCATAACTTGTTTTATTTTTTTGTATTTTATTTTTTTTTGAATAGCTTTTGCTTTTGTTGTTGTTGTGCATCGTCATGCGTGGTTTTTCATAGATAATTCCCTAATGGAGATATTGACTGCCTGGATTGGATTTGCAGTTCACCCTCCCCCTCCCCATCCCTCGCCGCGCTTATCAGTGCGCCGGCAGGTGCTTCAGATTGCGGCGTTTAGAAACCTGCCACCAACCTGCTGTTTTGTGTGCCCCTCTTATCGGTTACTTCTGGCGCGAACCCATACATATATAGAAACCTTTGATGGATTGTATTTAAGCAATATGCAATTTGTACTCTGCAATCTCTTAACCATTGCCCTCGTTTTTTCCCCCCTTTTCTCTTTATAGATAATGTGGAGCTTGAGGAATCCAAGTCGCTGTTCGAGACCAACTACAGTCATGTGTACTTCATACTCTACGACACCTTCATACAAGCGGAGGCGAACCTAAAGCAGAAAGGTAATTTCAACTTTAATTCGGCAGTAAGGTCGTCGTCGGCCGTGCTCCAAATACGGAGTGTGTTGTGTACCCACCCTATCCAATGGATAGTGCTCCCAAATATGGAGTATTTTCTACCCTATCCTTATCCATTCGGTATATTACTTTTGTTGTTGTTAATGAACGTTTTTTTTTGTCATATCTTAGGTGTTCTTTGATTAAAATAAATATTAAAATAGAGAGTTAGCTATTCTTATATAATATAGAACAGATCCCTAAGGGTACAACAATTTATAATTAAATGTAGTATGAGCCTTTGTAGCATTTGCCATAAGCGAAAGAATATTCGTTTCAAATTATTTTTAGTTATTTTCTATTTAGTAGTAATTAAAAGAGTACTTAAACTTCGGTATCAACGAATGCTATACGTAATCTCCCCTCTCTTTTTTTGGCCCACTTAAATTCGGTTAATTTTCTGGTATCTTTACTGACGATTTATTTTCGAGCAATTAAACAGCAAAGCAGCAAAGAAAAAAGCAAACTGCGACGACCGTAAATGGGACTGTGCACTTTGCTTCTTATTATGTTTTGTTTGGGTTTCCATTAATCTTAATGCTTAGTCCCATTAAATAGTAGAGACAGATACGAAAACATATGAGATATACATATGTATGTATGTATGTATGCAAATATTCTAAATTGAATTCCATTCTTCTATTCTTTTACCACCCAACAAAAAAATATCTTTCTTTCTCTCTCTCTCTATATATTTTTCTCTCTCTGTGTTTTTTTGTAAATCCCAAAAACTGGCAGAACTTCCGTTTCATATTGGTAAGTTTTATGTGGTTTTTTCTATTTGAAAAAATTTGATAAACATTTGCAAATTTGCATCCCGCTGTACGAATATCCACCAAGATCAATCTTGCTTTGAACTCAGTTTTCCATACCCTCATGTGTCCATATGCCCACTCCTCTCTCTCTCTCTCTCTCTCTATCCCTATATTTATCTATTTATCTGCACCACATGCATCTTCTATCTATATCTTTATCTGTATGCCTCTTGTGCTTGTCCACACACATTGGAATGAATGTATAGCTAGAGCCGCAAAATGGGTTTACAACCTTTCATTTAACATTGATCTCTAATCGTAATTGTATCTCGCAGTCCACAAAGCGCATCGCGAGGAGCTAGACGGTTCACTATGGCTGCTGGAGAAGATTCTGTGCCTGCTGCCGGAGCTGTTGGCCCGTCGCTGGCAGTGCCACTCACTCAGCCGCATCATGGCCAAGCTGTTGCATCTGGGCAACTCCCCAAAGCTGAGACGAGAAGGCGTCAGGTGAGTCCAGCTCAACACAAACGGGGTCTGCTCTAATCTCTGGCTTCTTTCATGCAGATATTTCCTGCTGTGGTACCAGACTCTGGGCGAGAATGCCCCTGGCTATGTGCATGCCATGTATGCGGATCTGATACCCGGCTTGATTGTCCCTCAGAAGGGTGTGCTGGGCCCCGACACGGAGTTCAGCGCCTCGGACTTTCTCACACATCCGAATATGAAGGCAGACGGTGGCATGGCCTCCGTCTTTCACGACAATGCCTTCTCCCATCCCGTGCAGAGCTCAGAGCTGATGGCACTGCTGCCGCCATCCTCCAGCGAAAAGTCGGCGCCGCCAGATCCCCGCGATGGGCTCGAGGTGCTGCTCAATAGCATGGTCCATACAGCGGCGTGTCTGCGATGGCGCGACAATCGCGCCCAGAAGGACCATCGAGCCTTTGCCTTCCTGCTGCAGCGTTTCATGGACGTGTTCCTGCCCGTCTTCTCGCCCAACTTTGATGTCACCTGCTCGATCTACAATCCCCGCCTGGACATGCCCGTGATGCGATCAATCAACAAGAAGGACGAGGTCATGGCCTCCTGTGTGGTGGTCCTCATCAACTGGGTGTCGCGTTTCACCCACGAGCGTCTGCTCAGCCACCGCCTGGACTGCACGCTCCACATCGAGGATGTGGATCATGTGCGTCTGCAGGGCTACCAGCAGGGACTGATCGTGCGGGATGTCTTCTACGTGAGCCGCGAGAACATAAACTTTGTGCACGAGGTCTACCGCCAGGCATTCCTCCTGAACTTCACCTCCAAGCCGCAGATCGAGGCCATACGCACGGCCATCGCGGTGTATCGCGACTGGATGACGGGCGAGACGCCACCGCCGTTCCTGCTGGAGCCCAACGATGATCCGCCGCCTGCCTCGACGGCAGGTGGAACCCCACGCAGCCAGCGACTGCGCACACCATCGTATGTGGGCGCCATAGCGGGCTCCAAGGAGCAGTTGGCCGTGCGCGCCGGCAGGCAGAACGTACTGCAGGTAAGCGCTATCCCAATGCAGATCCTTGGCATCTTGTTTCATTGAGCTTGTTTCCTCGCAGGTGTTTGTAACGAATGCTGCCAACGTGTTCCTCGTGAATACGGCCAATCTGAACATTTGTTTCCCCGCACGATCGCGCAACTATCGCTCCACGCCGCTGGAGGAGCAGACGGAGATCTGCAAGAAGGTCCTAAATGTCTATCGCACGATGGTAATGAACACGGACATGGATTCGCGGACGTGGGAGCAGCTGTTGCTGGTCCTGCTGCAGGTCACCTCCGTGGTGCTGCATCAGAATCAACATCATCATGGATCGGTCGGCGGGGGTGGTGGTGTTGGCGGTGGTGCCCCCAAGACGGCCACTCTGGGCGGCATCTTGGGATCGGCCATCTTCCAGACGCTGATTGTCACCTGGATACGGGCCCACACCAAAGTGCCCGTGAATGTGCTGCTGTGGGAGAAGTTCCTCAATGTCCTGCAGTCGCTGACGCATCGCGAGGAGCTCATTGTGGAGTGGAACAAAACGATACAGACGCTGACGCGCGTCTTCTCGCGCTACACCTACGGCATCAGTCTGCTCGACTTGCCCCTGGATCGCGTGGCCGAGAGTCGGGCGGAGAAGCGTCGCCGCATCGGCACCGTGTGGCAGGGATCGGGCGGCAGCAGCAGCACGGCCAACGGTGGACCCGCCTCTGGCTCGGCCATCAGCAGCAGCGGGCAGAACCGTCAGCGCGAGTCGCTGGCCGAGTCGAACAGCAGTCGCTCGGACGAGGCCACGCAGGTGGCACTGCTGCCCGCGGGCCACCACCCACGGCCCCACGGCCATCAGCACTCGCAGTCGCAGGGCGGCACTGGGCACGGCTCTCGACCTGTGCCCCTCACACCGATGCTCAGCAGAAGCTATAGCGAGGGCAGCTTGGCGTCGGCGGCCAGAAACTCGCGCATCCGCCGTCGCCGAGCAGCCACGCCCAAGCCGAAGCCTCTGCAGCAGTCGCAGCAGCTGCTGGGCGAGCACCGGATGCAGCAGTGCGGCGGTGGCGGAGCGTCGAATGCACAGGATATGAGGCGAGCCATGTCACTGGACTCGCTGGCGGCGATACCCTCGCGAAAGGGTGGCGAGGCGGACGAGACGGATAGCTACCAGGATGGCGACAATGAGAGTGGGGCGGGGTCGCGGAGTCCATCGCCGACGGCCAGCAGTGGAATCGAGGGGGGATCCATCAAGGATGCCCAGCTGCATATCGATGCGAGTCTGGATGATGCCAATTCCGGCAGCTATGGCAGCGGCAGTGGCTCCGGCAGTGTCTCCGGCCGTCGCTGCATCATTCTTGGCGGCTCAGCCGAGGGCTGGCACCCGGACTCCACTTCCATCATGTGGAAGCGCATGCTGGGCGCCCTGGGCGATGTGAATCGCATACCAAAGGCGGACCTGCATGCCCAGGTGTTTATGCATCTGCTGGAGATGACGCAGAACCTGATCAAGATCAAGCAGAATCAAGGGATATCCACGGACAACCAGAGCACACCGCCGCCCCCCACACTTGTGCCGCCGATCGGGATCGTGGCTCCGTGGTGCTACGGCTCCCTCACCCTCGATCGATCCTTCAAGAAGGGCAAGCTGTGGGCGCTGCAGTTGCTCTGCTCGCTGGCCCTCCACGGGGCCGTGGGTCGGCAGCAGTTCCCGCTGTTCTACCATGCGCTGCACCAGCTGCTGACTGGAGAGGATCGCGACCTCATCTATGCCATTCTCAAGTACTTGGAGGGGCCGCGGCTGCTCAGTTTGCTGCTGCCGGGACACACGCTGCTGCTGCTCGACCTGGTGCATGCGAGCGCCATACTCCTCACCTCGCTGGAGGTCTCACGCAGCACGCCGAGGGCCGAGGTGGCAGCCCTGCTGGGCTCCCTGCTCTGCTATCCATCCTCGCTGCTGCCGCGTCCTGTGCTGCAGCCCTCGCCGCAGAAGTTCGAGCTGATGGAGTGCCCCGATCTGCAGGATCACATCCTCAACATTGTGCTGCGTTGTGCGCGTCGCGAGCCCTCGTCCAAGGCCCGCTGCATAGCCCTGTCCCAGCTGGGCCAGTGGCTGCTCCAGCGCCTCTCCCAGCCCTCAACGAACTCTGCGGCCGGCCGTGCCGCGCCCTTCCAGCAGGCAGTGCCGCATCCCAAGGACATCCATCCCAAAGAGTCGAAGCATTTCAATCCGCGCATCAAGGAAGTGCTCCAGGTGCTGCTCCAGGCGCTCCAATTCAAGCATCACACCATTGCCATGGTGGCCGTCGACTCCCTGAAACTCTGCGCGGAGCGGGGACGCCAACTGGCGGCGATAGAGCGCGTTCCGCAGCTGATCATCACGGCGCTGTGCAAAGCGCTGGAAATCCAGAACGTTTCCAAGCCCAAGGACTCGGACAAAGTGGTGCTCACATCGCTGATGCTCTGCCTGGGCGAGTTCTGCATGGCGATACCCGCCGCCCTGATGCTGGCGCCGCTTAACGAAAACGGCGACACACTGGTGCTGCAAGTGCTGCGCGTCCTCCTCCAGGTGGCATCCGGGGCACCGCGTCACGAGCGCGTCAAACTGACGGCCGACGATGACTTCGATATGCACATTGCCCACGACGATCTGCAGGGCGACGGACGACTGCCGGAGGCCACCTACCAAACATCGGAGACCATTCAGGCGTGCATCACGGCCATCCGGCTGTGCGCCAAGGCCGTGTCCATGCACCTGGTCACCCACATCGGTCACTTTCCCATGGGCATTGGCGCCTCGCGGCTCAGCTCGATGGTGGAGGAGCACGATGACATTGGCGGGTCGGCCCTGGGCAGCCAGGTGGACACGCGGCGCGACTCTGTGGACTTGCCCTCGGTGGTGAGTGCCCAGAATGTGCAGCTGTTCATGCTGAACTCGGGTCTGGTGGCCAGTTTCATAGAGCTGCCGACGCTGAAGCTGCCCGGTGGCGGCATCACCGCCGGCCTGGTCACCGCCGAGAAGCAGGTGCGTGTGCTCATGCGGGATCTCAATGGGAAGGCCTGTTGGGATGCCTCCATACTGTACTCGGAGCCGCGCAAGATGGAGGAGCCTGCACAGCCGCAGCGACCAACGCCAAAGCTCCATCATCACCAGCAGCAGCAGCAGCAGCAGAACATGGACTCGATGGTGTCCTCCATGATGGGAGTGGAGATGCAGCCGCCGCGTCACACGCTGCGCCATCGGCCGGCTGGAGTCTTGCCGCTGGCCAAGGACATGGCGCCGGATCTGGACCAGCTGGACGACATGCTGGCCTACATCGGGCACACCAGTCCCGAGTGTGTGGCCCCCAATGTCGTCCAGCTGAATGCCCCGACCAGCAGTGCGCTGGGCAACAACCAGGAGGCGCAGGCCATCTCTGTGATCCTGAACCAGCGCCTGCTCGAGCAGGAGTTTGTGATGCACACGGCCCGGGCGCATTCGCCAGCGTTGCGGCATGCCGGCTCCAGCTCCTCGCTGCACCATCATGCAGGATCATCGTCTGTGGACCAGCGGTCCCTGCACTCGGCCTCCGCCTCGTTTGACTCGCTGCCCACACGCACTGAGATGCCCTTCCAGTATTGCCGGCTGCTCTTCTCGCATCTAGGCCTCGCGGGCTGGGAGCGGCGCTCGCGAACTCATCTGCTGCAGCGCACGGAGAAGCTGATGCGAGAGCTGCGCAATGTGGATCTGCAGAAGTGTCGCGAGACGCACAAGATGGCCGTCATCTATGTGGCCGCCGGGCAGGAGGACAAGGGCAGCATCCTGAGGAACACCAGCGGCAGCAGCACCTACGAGATGTTCGTGTCGGCCCTGGGCTGGGAGATCGATCTGGAGACGCACAACGGCTTCTTGGGGGGTTTGCCGCGGCAGGGATGCGGCGCCACGGCGCCCTACTATGCCACGCCCTTCCTGGAGGTTGTCTACCATGTGGCCACCAGGATGCCCTCGGACTCGTCGGAGGCAATGCTGCTGAAGACGCGTCATCTGGGCAACGACGAGGTGCACATTGTGTGGAGCGAGCACCACAGGGACTACCGGCGTGACATCCTGCCCACAGAGTTCTGCGACGTGCTCATTGTCGTATATCCGCTGAGAAATGGCCTGTTCCGGGTGACTGTCAATCGGAAGCCCGAGGTGCCTTGGTTTGGGCCGCTGGCCAATGAGAGCGTTGTCAGTGGCGCCTGCCTGGCCACGCTCATCCGGGCGACAGCCATCAATGCCAGTCGAACGAAGCGCGCTGCCCTGCCGCTCTACCAGCAATTGTGAGTCCATGGCCACAAACTTTCATCGAAGTATCCCACTGACATGTGCATCCTCTTTTTTTTTCTGCAGCTACGAGGAGCGCAATCGTTCGCTGGACAGCGTCTCGTCGCGGTACAAGGAGAGCACTACATTTGAGGACTTTGCCAGTCGCATCTACAACCCGATGCCCCTGTCCACGCTGGGAATGCTGAGGGAATCGAATGCCAGCAGCTCGGCGGCGCCCCTGGCCTCCGCCCTGCTCGATCATAATCGCGCCTCGGTGAAAGGTGAGCAAATCGAAGAGAGTTTTGAGGATAATTTGATGGTTAAATGGTCGGATTGCAGGTTGGGTTCAGGCCTCCATTGATTCGGGGCCCATGCTGGGCATTGCCCCATCTGCCTCGGCAGGATCAACGGCGGCCATGGAGGCGGCAGCGGCGGCCAGCAACATGACATCCGCATCGCCACGTGGTCCCCGCAAGCTGGGCGCACCATTCAAGAGTGTGACCAAGAAGCATTCGCTGCAACAGATCGTCATTGGAGGTGGCAGCGTCAGTGCCAGTGGGGATACGCCGCCCGAGAGTCCAACGATGCCGCAACGACGCTTTAAATAATATTTCTCATATTCTTTCGATTCCCAATACTAACATTCCCCCCGCCACGCCCAAGCCACGCCCCACAGTTCGTTCCAGGCGATGTACACAATCCCACGATGTAGAGATCACAGATCCCAGATCCCAGAGGGTTGTGCGACAAAAGTATTGCGAAACACGTTTCCTCCTATGTTTAATTATTGTAATTTATTTCTTTATTCGCTTTCCATTTAGTCTAACTAATCAATGTATTTAACTATTTATTTGTTGCTAAGCCACCCCCTAATCCCCCTAATCCAATGCTACTCTGTCTCTCTGTTCCATTTGCAAGATCAGATTGTGTTTTAGGTACTTGTGAATTTTATTTAGTTTACTTTTACATACACATACGAGATATAGTATCTTTTTTACGTATTTATTGATGATTTCGCTAGCATGTTACGCGTATGTATTTAATCGCTGCACTCAATTATGTTCACGATGGTATGATTTAATTTAATTTCTGAAATTTGTAATTTGATTTGATGTTCGTTTTAAGTGCTAACATTTAATGGTTTAATTGCATTTTGATTAGCTGCTTAAGTGTGCGTTTAATTCAAGGCAAAACTGTTATCCAATATTACATTTATTTTTAATTTTAATCATTATTGTATGTTATATATCTTAACAATTTCAAAGAATTCGAAATTCGCACAAAAATGCAAGAATAATCAAAAAAATTTTTGAAAATCCAATATAATAGGAATTATGTATAAGTCTATAAGTCTCTTGTATGGTAACTTGCTCTGCTGCCCGTTTAAAGCAAACATCAACTACTAGTATTATATAACTGAGCTCTATGTATAGATATATCCCTGCCCCCAAACCCTCTCTAGCCTTAAGCATATCCGTTGGCAATTGTCTTACTTTCGTAAACTCAAAAAACAAAACAAAAAAAAATCATTGTTCAAATCCAAAAGGCCTTTTATTTGTGTGTGTGTGCAAAAGAAAATGAAATTGTTACATGGATGATTTATTAACAAATTGTAGAGATACATGCATATAGTAAGTTGTGTATATCTTTCTCATTGTTTCCAACGAATTGAATTGATCAAATTGATATATTTATATATACATATATACATACATATGTTAATTTTTTATTACTTATATTTAAAATGTAATACGGGCAACTGAAAAGTTAATTGCAATGTGTTTTTTGTTGCACAAAAATGTTTTAATGAAATCTGTAGGCGAATTAACACACAATTAACATTAAGGAATTTTTTGTAAGAGCAAAACGAAACCGAAACGAAAACGATCGAAAATCGAAAGGCAAGAAATGCAAAGAGGTAAAAAGTATGTGAAAATTTGTAACTAACATCCAAGTAAATGGCATTATACATATATACAACCTACATTTACAATTGCAATATACTTATGATATTGACTAATTTATTTGAGAAAACAATCGCGAGTATTTTTTCGTATAATAAATAACAAATGAAAAAGAGTTAAGCAGCGTGCACTCCCTCCTGGGCTTTCCCTCAGGTGTGTTTTTCCTTATTTTTTTTGGGCCAGATGTTGTTTAACGTTTTCTGAGGTAATTAAAGGACACGCAATCGCCCTGATGACACTCATTTGGCTTGGCACAGACACTCTGGCGGGGTCATTGGCTTCGTTTTTTTGTTGTTATTGGTGGTATCCTTCTTTAGGGGTGGCTATGGCTAGGCCTTGCACCCTCATCCTGCACACTAGACACAGCGGCTGGCAGGCGCTGGCTGGCTGGCTGGCTGCATGGCTGGGGATCTCTCTGCTGTAACCACCGCTGGCTAGTGACGCCATCGAATTAGAATTTTTCACCGCTGTACAGAAATACCCCTAATGGCCTGTCGCTGCCGCTTGGCTGCCGCACAGTTCTCGTCGAGCGGTCGTGTCGTGTGAACGTCTTTTCTACTGTCACTTCAACGTCGCCGTGTCGTTGTTTTGTTTTCCAAAGATAAACTCAAATCGCAAGTCGAGATGCGCAGCCAAGTTTTAGGTTTTTGCATAGCCATTTTGCTAATTGTTTGCCTCATGTAAGCCAGGCAGCAATTAGATGTGAGATTAGATGTGCCAGAGATCGATCTCTGATTGGAGCACTGCCAGAGATCTCTTACCACTAGAGTGATGGGTGGGCGTACGCCACAGAGGATACGGAGGATAGGCGACAGCCTGGAGATGCTAACGCGTGAGGCTCGTCGCGAGGTGGTGCGCTGCGAACGTAAGTGGAAAATCACCCATACGCCGCGTTGAGACACGCTCGATTGCATCACCCCCTGAGCTGTGTACCGTTGCTCCTTGGAGCAACTTCTCCGATCGATTAGCAATCATATTTGCCATTCCAACCCACTCTAGCATTCATTGTGTTCTCCGCTTTGTTTGTACGGCTATCTTCGGTCTTTCTGTGTGTTGCCTGTGCCGCTGTAATAAATTCATGAAATGTCGCATTAGATCTGCGCTGCCTGTAGGCCTCCATTGTGGATTTGCATAAACAGGCGACGTCATCGCCAATTTCAACATTGAAGCATGGAACCTCAATTTGCATGTACATATATCTATAGGTGGAAGCCCCACTTTGATGTGGTGTGTGTGAGTTTGGTTGTGTCGCTCCATTTGGGAAATCGCTAACAACAAATATTTGTAAATTACTGTGAAAATTTATCTAGAGTAAATAGGGGATATGTAAGGCAATGTATCTATATGAATGGATGTATCTATTAAATTTTAAAGCTAAAGATAAACTGACTTATAAATTTTGAGCATAGAAACAAATGAATGCATTCATGGTTGTATTTTACAGTCAATCTCCTCTTGAAATTCAATTCGCTGCGTAAATGAAATGGAAAACTATTCTTCATCTGTTGCAAGTCCTTTAAGTGAGCAAGACATATACACGCAACGAAATGTGCGAGCAGTTTTTTTATTTTAAATTTTGTATACATAAATAGTTGCTATGGTGAATTGTACTAACTAGATTGTAAACTAGAGACCGCACGGCGTCTGGTTAGACTTCTCTTCCGGTCTTTTTATTATTTGCTGTGTACTTTTTGATAACATATGTAAGACACATGTGCTTCCACATTAAACATAGATCAATGGAAACTTCTTTCATGGGAACTAAAATCGGAAAAGCTTAATTGAAATTGCTTGCTAAAACCTACATAAACATTACTTTATTGTTCCAGAGGGGAAAATATTCAAATTAAATTGGGTAAAAGCCTTTAAAATAATGCCCCTGTGACCGCGTTGTGTCCCTGAAGGGGAGCGCACATGCCAGATGAAGTTTCAGCTGTAGAGAAAAGCTAGATGCCTGACAGGCACGCGATTTGTTTTGTGGTATTACTCCACATAACACACACACACACATACACTCCTTCGTTCATGGGCAAGTCCTTGGGCCTTGTGTCCGCTAATTAAGCTTACCTTGGACATGAAAAAAGCGGCGTGTTTTTTCAAGGTCATCGCCGATAATTGCGTCCATGACAACAGCCGACAAAAGCCGAAACAAAATTAAATACACGTGGAAGAGCAGGACCAATGTTTATTATTGTTTGAATAAGTGTTTAATGCGTGTTTCTATTTAAGGATAAAACGAACAAATGAACGATATAAATGGTGATTACGTAGCTATAATTAGGTCTTATCTTAATTGTGGTTTTGTGGCTGGGGAGCGCGAAAATAAATGTATAAAGTTGTAGCTACAACCACTAGATGTGAACTTTTATGTGTTTGAACTAAGTGATAAACTTGTGATAGTTTATCGTATCCTTGCGGATAGCTGCAATAGCAATAGCAAGCGAAATTACTACATAGTTATTATTGTAGTTGCACTACGATAACGCCTAAGTATTTGTATTATTTTAGTCTACGAGTATATTCATAAATACAGTGAAGTACAGAAAACGCGTCTCGGGACTTTACATCCCACGTTCTCCTAATCTAACAAAACATCAACACAAAAGTTTTGAAAACAAGAAACAAAAATAAAAACACAAAAACAATCAGTTCCTCCTCTTCCTACGCATAACAACTTCACCCCCTCCAACGACCCAGCGCCTATCGAGGGCAGCGAATGCGAAAAATAACAACAGACTCGTAGGAAACGAACCAAAACAGAAACAAGAAAATTAAGCGAAAACTGAAAGCAGCATAAGTTTGTGCGAATGGCAGAGGGTTGGGTGGGGAAGCAACTAGTTGCAAATGGCCAAATCAAAACAAAACCGAAGAAGCTCTCTTTTCTCAGCGAATATATAAAAGCAAAGCGAGAGAGAGAGAGAGAGAAATACTATTGCAGGGGGGCTCAAGGTGTATTTATATAGGGTGGAGCATTACCTCTCCCTCTCCGGCACATTAATTTGTGGCCATAAAGCTTAAAAAGGGGAAAATTTATTTTGTCTGAATTTTCATTTTATTCTGAGCTATTGACTTATATGTAGATTATATGTGATTTGTCATGTATTTTTGTCTACGTAGATGTCTGCAAAGTTGTCATTCCATTCGGATTTCTTTGTAGCCGCAATGTAGCAGATCTGAAAGAATGGCTCAAGTTTTTTTGGGCTACAATAGAATTGTTGTAATCATAAACAAGGCTCTCATCTAGAAGTGAAGCTAAATCAGAAGCTCTAAACTTTGAAAATGCTCCACCCTACATTAATACACCATTTGGCATATGCTTATATACATACATATATATGTACATATGTACAGTCAGCTGGAGAACGCTCCATCGCTCGTCGTTGCTGTCCGGTGGCTTCGTCGCCGCCGCCTCAGTGGCTGAAACATTCACGAACGGCACAGTCGGGTCGGTCGCTACGGAGTTCGGTCCAAAAATTTCATTCTAACTCCTCTTCGCGGGGGGGGCTTAGACAATTAACGGTGTCTTTTGCTGGAAACGATTTATGCAAATCAAAGAGATATCAATAACAATGTAATAAACATAAATGCCTAATCGAACAGAAGAAGAACCGAAAAAGACACCACGGAATGACCTTAAACTGTTTGTGTTTGTGTGTGTGTGTGTGTGTTGGGCGGGAATTGTGGATTTAAACGAATGACGTTTTTCCCAGCCCAAATCCCCTCGTGTCCCCAAAAACACGGACACGCCACGAGCCCCTGGGGCTAATTAGAGTACATATTCGAGAACGAGCACAAAAAGGTGTTAAATTCGGTTTCGTTACGTATACGTAATGTGGCATGGAAATAAAAATAGAAAACTTGAACCTCTGCCGCCTGCAAGTGTGCCAAATGTAAATTGATAGCCAAAAGGTGTTCCGAATCCAATTGAAAAACTTTCGCACACACACACACACAACACACACAAAATACATTTGTCTCCTCCCACATTAATTCCAAATCAATTAATTTCAATTATTCCAATCGTTCAACGAAACAGAAGCGAAGCAAAAAAAATATTATAAAAAAAAAATAGAAAATGTTCTCGTCTGGTTGATTGAATTTGGTTTACGATCGAAATTTACTCGCCTGTCTGTAAATTGTTTATTGTTTTCCTAATAAATTTCGGTGCGCTTTTTTTTTTTGAATGTTTTCCGCCAGTTGGCTCCATAAATATTGCCCGTTTTGACTATAAAAATCCACCATAAAGCAGGCAACTGTGAGCTAAAAACTATTTTCCACTATAAGCTGGACAAAAGCGAGAACAAATCTGCGCACAAAAGATATGCTAACCATGTGAAATACATTATAAAAAATAAAATATAATTCAAACTGAATTTGATAAACTCTGGCATCCTACGGACCCCGCAAAACAGAGAGAAAAAGTACCGACAATTCCTACATAATAAATCACATAAAATTATGCTAAAATGGAGCTGATAAAAAAGTACAAACAGGGAAAACTCACAACTGGCGATATCCGCAATCTGAACCGTACGTTGATACATTAATTTATTCGCTAGAAATTCATTTCCTTACACATTCTATAAATAGCTATGTACACAACACAACATTCAAATGGCCCTTAGTCGCCCTTTGTTTTTGGAATATTTTTAGTGTGGCCTTCACGGGCGGAAGAAGGAGGTGAAACCTAAGCTAAAATAGAACCAAACTGAATTCCAAAACAGCATTTCGAATGTCAAATTTCAAATTGCCTGCCATTGACAGACAATGTTCGAATCAATTATTGTAAGACCATTTGTCCATCAGTCACGGCGGCTGCTCTGCAAGGGGCGCGTCTTTCAGCATCAATAAATAGTCCGGGTAAATTGTACCGAGTATCTGGCAAATGTTTCGCAGATGCTTCGACCTGGAACAGTGGGGCAAACTCAATGGAAAGGCCATGGGGAATGGGGAACACTTCAGCCGTTACATGTTTATATTTCCTTCTCTGTTTTTTGTTAGCTGTATTACAACCAACTGTTAAAATGTGCCTTGATTTAGCACACCAGAACCAAGGTTGCTTGAAACTGCCGCATATATCACCTACTTCCCCTGCTCTCATGTGCTAAATTTGTTGTCTTTTTTATATACCCTCAATCGCCTCATCAAAAGGTGCTAAGTGGCCCTAAAGCCTTTAGACAAATGTGCTAATATTAAGTTCGTTTCGGTTGCTTATAAACATTTTCGCACATTGCTTCCTCTTTCCTCTGACGTTGGATCTGACCCCTGCACCCCCCCTGCCACAGAATGTTAATAAACATTCAAGTTGTTGCATCGCCTGGCCCGCTGCTAAGTGGTGGCAAGTCTGTTTGAGTGGGCGCCATGAAAAATACGCATACGCCATGTGTTTACTGTTAATGGCATTAACAAATTGACCTAAGTGCAAAACTTCCGGGACCAATTAACACTGCAAACAAACACTGTAAGTAGGAGAAATTTGGTAACAGCCATGGAAACTTGCGTAGAATTTCTCGATCGTCTCATCGTTGTTTATAGCTGGCAAACAATTTGGTAATCTTTATTTATAGTTTACTTTACAAAGCTTCTCCTCTTTGGGCCATATTCTGTTACCATAACTGGCCAAAAGTGGTTAGCCTCCCGCTAACGACTCATAAAACTTCTCGCTTGCTCGCACCCAGTGCCCAGAACCAGACCCAGAGCCGGAGCCAGAGATGAGGGGCGGCGACATGATGTCATGCCACAGAGCGAGAGCAAGAGAGAGAGGGACTGTCCCAATCTCCGGGGGATCGTGCAACGTACAGTAAATGGCCACTGAATGTGTGTGCCCATCCGAGCAGCAGAAACAAGCAAACAAAAAAAAAACCATTCCGCTTAATGCGTTCAAAGCACTTGGGGCATGAAAATTGTGGTACCATTCCGTGATCTGTCTGAGTATGATATATGGATGGGAAATTGTAAAATTCATCTGTCCATAATGTACTGTAAAAATGGAATTGGTAATATAACATGCGACCCACCGCATATTTTACCGCATCTCAGAATCGTATATTTTCCCTCGAATCTGTTTGTTGACTCTGCAGTGCTATTTTATTTTGTGTTCTTTTGTTTAATTTGTACAAGTATCCCGAATCGTGTGGAATGAAAGCATCGGGCGAATATTTTTGCATCAATTGAAATGAATTTTATTTGCCAGCAGTCACGATATCGACGTCATCTCGAGTTTGTTCATTCGGAATGATATCATAGCCGCAGATATAACCTCACGCACACACACCGAGAGCCCACATAACCTGAGACTAGTTCACAGTTAACTGAATCTTACACACAAAACAAAAACAAAAACAAAACCAAAACCAAAAAAGCCAAATTAATTATCTACCCCTACCCAACTGCCGCTCCAGTCGAAAACTTGTCCAAGAAAACATAGCGAGAAAAATAATATTTCATCTCGTGTGGCTCTAACCTTCATACTCGCACAATATTTCATTCGTTCTATGAGCAACATTCATAATGTCGTAATCCATTGTTCGCAATGCTTTTTATTTGGCATACTTGATCAAACGGCTCCTTGCCCATGCACATACAAGTAGTGGATTTTCCAAATATAGCTCTCTGTACGCTTGAGCTGTTAATTTCCAATTCAAATTTGTCCAGCGGCTCTTTTGATATGGCAATGTGCATGAAATGCTTAATAATGGCAGAGTTTATTTTTATGATTTCATTATCACCATTAGATATATAATTGGAAGGGGGCAGACAAGTTTAATGAAGGGAGAACAGATGAATGGGACCCACAAACACTCGTGCAGATTATAGATTTCATCAATCTACAAGTCAAGAATACCCTTGGAAATATATTTCTCTTCTGGTTGAAATATATGGCTCCTATTAATCTATTCACTCTCAAATCTTCCCTTTATGTAATTTATTTTCTTATTTGTATTCCCTTACAGACACCGTGATATGTCTCATGGTACTCATTGCAATATTCTCCATAATATGGAGCATTTCGTTGCACATGATATCCGGGGATCTGTACGAGGGAATAGTCAGTGCCAAACTCATCTTCCGTGAGCGAAACTTTGATCAAATGGATAACCGCAGCAAGGAGATCCTGCATCGGGACTACATCAAGGCCACCCAGCAGGCCTATGGGTCTAAATATTCCGTCCAGGATGTCGCACCTGAATCGCTGCAGAGCGATAGCCGTAAGAGATTTCAGGGAGAGATTTCCCCCTTAATATCAAATTCTCAATCTGCATTTCCATTGCAGAAACCACAAAGCCAACCTTCAAGATACCACATATCTACGAGTCGAGGGAGAACCGGCCACGGCTGGAGCGTCTGATAGCTGACAATAAGGAGACGCAGGCATTGACCACAACGCAGGCGCCGACTCCAAAGATTGTCTTCAATGCGGAGGCGGATCGCCAGTTCCTGGCCAGCAGTAAGCATCATATTATCAATCCCCTTGGGTATTCGTTCTTACACAAGTATTTCCCCTTTAGTGGCCCTCGATGCACATGCCACGTTTTGGAATCCAGGGATTGGCGCACAATTTGTCTATGCATTTCCTCTTATTTCGGAGATTGTGGCCATCATCTGGACAGCCATGTGTCTCATCTACCAGACGGGCAGCAAGAAGAGTTCGTAAGTACGATAATTCTCTGCCAATTTGTCCTCAATTTAATTTAATTTCAAACGTAATCCATTTCAGAGTTCTGCCCAAACCCTGGCGCATTGTGGTGCCCTCGATCATCATTTTCTCCGTTATGAGCCTTGGCAGCGTCCTCTATACCATCGTAACAAATGGACACCTGAAGCAATTGTGCGGACAACTGCGCGAGAATCTCACCGATCCCGTTGCCATCAGCTGCGGAGATGCCATCGCCCTGCTGCGGCCCATCGTGCACGAGCACAATGTCTCCCACGACACGTATCTGCAGCTCTTCCGTTGCAGCTATGTGATTGGGATGGTGCTGTGGCTCATGGCCCTGCTGGTGATGGTGCTGCGGTTCGTCTTCGCCGTCGACTTTCAGCTGGTCGACATCGATGAGATGTTTGAGCATCGGCCGAGCACAGATTTCCAGACGCCCATTCAGCCCGTCTACAGGGCGGTGGTGCAGCAGAGCAGTCCGCAGCACCAGACACAGATGAGGCCCAGATCCGAGGAGGACTATCAGAGTGCCAGGTCGCACTTGAGCGATGTGGCGCTGCCGCTACTGGATGGGCAGCCGCAAGCCTCGCAACGGGTCACCAGTTTGGCCTAAAGACGTCGCAAAACGATTGGCAATCTCAGGTTTATATTTATTTTTATACCAAGTCTTAGAAAAGAGCGGAAGAGTGTGCGTAAGCATCTCTTTTACTCTAACGTTAGTGTAAGTTTTAGCGTTCTTTAGTGAATAGTTTCCTGATATTTTCAATGTTTTTAAAGCTAAGCAAACTCGTGCCTCGAAGTCAGAATTAACTTATACTCGTAGTTTAGAAAATGTCGCTTACCTAAAGAGAAACGGGAATTAATTGGAGGAGTTCCACGGCTCTTGATATAACGAAATGTTGGCATACTTTTAGGCATTGAAAAGTCCGAGATATACAGAGATGTATGTATGTATTTATTATGCACATTCGAATCTATCTAATACCCTTTAGAGACCTTTATTTAAATTGAAAAATTTCCAGCAATCTGCAAAAGCTAAGCGACATTCGCTGGTCGGTCGATCGACCATAATCCTTCAGAACAAACTGTAAACCAACTGTTTTTTGTTTTTTTTTGTTTTAATTAAAATGCAATAATATTTCTAACCGTCCGATAACCGAAAAACTGTGCAAATAAAAGGAAGGATCAAGCTGTACGAACTTAGAGCAGCTTCATGGTGATGGTCTTGGTCTCCAGATAGTTGTCCAGTCCATCCTTGCCCAGTTCGCGACCAATGCCAGAGTGCTTGTAGCCACCGAAGGGCGTCTGGGGGAGGACAGCATCGTAGCAGTTGATCCAGACGGAGCCGGCGTCCACGTTGTTGGCAAACTTCAGGGCCTTGTTGATGTCATTGGTGATGATGCCGGCGGCCAGGCCGTACTGGACACTATTGGCCCGATCGATGATCTCATCGAGGCTGCTGAACTTGAAGATGGACTGAACAGGTCCGAAGATCTCCTCTTGGGCAATCCTCATGCCATCCTTCACATCCGAGAAGACAGTGGGCTCGACGAAGAAGCCCACATTGCCGATACGCTTGCCGCCAGCCTGCAGCTTGGCGCCCTCCTTCTGGCCGCTCTCAATGTAGCCGAGGACTTTGGTGAGCATCTCCTGATCGATTTGGGGACCCTGCTGCACGTTCTCCTCGAAGGGGTTGCCCACCTTGCGGGCCTTGGCCTTGGCGGCGGCCTTCTCCACGAACTTGTCGTAGATCTTCTCGTGCACATAGGTGCGACTGCCGGCGCAACAGCTCTGGCCGTGATTGGAGAACAGAGCCTCGTGTGTGGTCTCCACAGCAAAGTCAACTAAAAGCAGGAAATACACGAGTTAAAGCCAGAAGAAGCAGCGAGGGGAGTCGAGGCACCACTTACTGTCCGCATCATCGAAGACCACCACTGGACTCTTGCCGCCCAGCTCCAGGGACACCCGCTTGAGGTTGGACTTGGCTGCTGCCTGCATCACGATGCGACCAATGTCCACGGAGCCGGTGAACGCCACCTTGGCGATGTCCGGGTGCTCGCTGATGGCCGCCCCGGCAGTGGGACCGAATCCATTGATGATGTTGATGACGCCCGCTGGGAAGCCCGCCTCCTTGGTCAGGGCAGCCATGTGCAGGGCGGTGAGTGGCGTTTGCTCCGCCGGCTTCATGATGATGGTGCAGCCCACGGCCAGGGCGGGGCCCCACTTCCAGGCGAGCATCAGCAGAGGGTAGTTCCAGGGAATGATCTGGCCGACAACGCCCACGGGCTCCTTGCGGGTCATCGAGGTGAAACCTCCGGCGGGAATGGTGTCGCCAAAGAACTTGTCGGTCCAGCCGGCATAGTACTGCAGCGTCAGTATCGAGTAGGTGACATCGAAGAGGGCCTCGGCATAGGGTTTGCCATTGTCCTGGGTCTCCAGGCTGGCAAGGAATTCCTTGTCGCGTTCCATCAGTGCGCAGAGCCTGGAAGGAGGCAGCAATCGGGTAATGGAAACTAATGCTGGCCACAGGAGTCTGTGTATATTTACTTGTTGATCAGATTGGTGCGCTGCAGGGGACTCAACTTGCGCCAGTCGGAGTTGCGATGGAAAGCCTTCTTGGCCGCAATCACTGCCAGATCCACATCAGCCTTAAGCGGAGATAATCCCAATTGGTTTGGGTGTCAAATAGGAACAGGGATTATATTAACTCACTTTGTCTCCTTCGGCCACTTTGACGATTTCCTTGCCAGTGGCTGGGTTGGCTGTGGCAAAGGTCTTGCCCGAGACGGCATCCACAAACTCATTGTTGATGAAGAGCTGCAATGGCAAGGAGCATTGTAGGCAGCAGTCAGTGAGCAGTCATCAAAGTAGCAACAAGGACCAATGGCATGTATTACCCAACCTCACAGTGAAGGGGCTGGCAACTCTCAGGGCTATGATTGAATCCTCTTACACTGCTCCCCAGTCTGTGGCGATGGAATGCCAGTAATTGGTGCAATTTGTGCATCGCTATCTGTGATTATAATCTGTGGGATAGCAGCAGCCTTTGTGTGCCCCAACAAGTTGTCAGCACTTTGATTGCCCCATTTTCAATTTTCCAACGGCACGCGACAATGTTAGCAATGAAATATTCAAGTTCCGTCACGATCCGAAACTGTCAAACAAAACTGTTGACACAACAAAGTTCAACCCTCGATTTAGCGTATTTAAAAGTCATTTAAAGTTGTAATGGAACATTAAGAGATATAAATAAATGGATTAAGCGGGCTTTGACTTCCATAAAGAACTTGGAGTTGGATTGGATTGAATCAGATGAAATTAATTCAATTGAATGAAGGTCTCTTATCTTGTTTCTATAAATAGAACTGCACTCCACAAAAGATCTGCCTCGTATGATCCCATTTGGCAGATAATACAAATAAAATCTGGTATCAAAGTCTCCGCCATATCAGTGTCTTCGAATAACAGCATAGGACCCCCCCCGTTAAACTTTCCGTATGGTTATCAGTTTTGTTTGCCCCAGAAGACCACATCATTATTATCGCCACAGCAAAGGCAGATTTGTTTATTGAGTGCCAAAGAGTACGTAGATTAAGACCAGAACAGAACGGAACGGAACAGAACACCCTGTATGTGGGTAGGTATCGCAGACCACTCCACGCAAATCAAAAAGAAAAACTTGCGAATATTCGAAAATTGCGACACAAACAAGTTGGGAACCAGTTGATTTCCCATTAGAGACACGATAGAGTACGGGTTTTATTCGCGTATTATGTACTACTTCTTATCTGGAGTTTGTTTGAGGAGTGGCAGGCAGCAGGCACAATCAGGTGTAAGTGCGGCTGTTTAATCAATTGCGAAACACTTATTGCATACGAAATGCAATTGGCAACCAAATGTATTCTATGTGTACTCACTTTTGTGTACTTGGGCTTTGTGTTGGGATCGGCCATGCTGACGGAGAATCTGTGTGTATAAACTGCTGCCACTGGGAACTGGAGCTGAAGTGGATGAGAGTTGGCTGCCAGATGCTGCTTTTATAGGCTGCTTGCTCCGTGTACGCCTTCCATCGCTGCTATCAGGGTTTCTGTTTTCGGACTGTCGTTTATCTCTGTTTTTGCTATACGCCGGCCGGCCGGCAGGCTAAATGACAGACACACACACTCGTAACTCGTATTATTTATTGGGCACCCTACAGTGCAAAGAAACTCGTAAGGCATGTGGATTTTCCAAGTCAGTTTGTTAAGGATTCATCGCAGTGGAATAATTTCTATAACTTTTATCTGTTACTACTCTGAACATATTTTTTTCGTTAGGAATTACTCTATTATATTTCAAGTATGTGTATTACCTAGTGTTATATGCATCGTAGCGCATTCCGAGTAAGTTGCAGCTTAAGCTGTCAAAATTTTTGCAGTCTCCTTTAAAGCGTGCGCTTTATCATCTAATTCGCTTTAGTGTATTTTCGCATACTAAAATGTAAGCATTCAAATGGTTGTTGTCTTGGCTGAATCAAAAAAGGTTGGTTCACGTCTTGGCTTTGGTCTTATACGTTTGTGTCTTATACAGGCTGACGAATTGCTAGCATTATTCTATTTATTTATTTAATATATGTAACAATGTTTTCGGTAGGTATATATTGATACAATCGAACACTAGAACCTCCAAAGATCTTCTTTTTAGTCAAAAAATTCCTTTTAAAAGATTCCATTAAAGGAAATCCTTGTCTTATCAAAAGCTCGTTGTTTTTATCAGTGGTTTGCCGTAGCTTGCGATGGGAAAACTCTCGTACTGATAGGTGCGTTGCACCAGACCATGATCCAGAAATTTCAGTTTGCTCAGCGACTGTGCAATGTAATTGCTGCGTGGAAGGAATGAGAGGACAGTGAACTGTGAATGTGAGCCCAAAATAGAAGAGCTGTCAATCCCACCTGTAGTAGTCGTAGTCGTAGCGCAAGTAGCCGGAGAAGGGCTGAAGCTCGAGGCCATCTGGACATATTGGATTGCCGTGGAGGCTCAGGTACTGTAGGTTGGGGAAAAGTCGTCGGATCAGCCGCATTGTTGAGGGCAGGTCACTGAACTGCAAATACCAAACACGTGTAGGATGTACTGTACTGATGCGAGCAAGGAAAGGATCGTACCTCGTTCTTGTTCAACATGAGCACCTCCAGCTGGGGCAGGGGCTGTGTCAGTGTCCGTATTTGCGCCTCGTGCAGCCGATTGTTGTCCAGCACCAAGTGACGCAGCTGCTCGAACTCCGCCAGCCAGGATAGATCCTTCAGGCAGTTGTGGCTCAGGTCCAGCAGCTCCACGTGCTCCCCATGGCGCTTGACCAGCTCCAGGGGCAGTGTTCGGAGATTCTGCTGCACCAAAATGAGCTACATTTGCGGTAGATTGTGTGTCGTACGATTCGTAATCTCTCAATGATAAACCCAAATAATTTCCCTACCTGACTGTCGTTGTCTTCCAGCGTTTGCATTGCCACCTGATTCCGTATCTACGGCGGGAGATCTTCTGCTGTGTGCTTTCGGATACCTTTTCGGCGGTCGTCTGGTGCTCGAATGAGCCGAGCGAGCCCCGTCGCTAATTTGCTGCAGTTGAAACGAGAGCAGAGACGACTGCTTTTGTTTTTGCGTATTAACTTTTACTTTTTTACTGTCATACCCTGTCCGATGCCGCCAGCAAAAGGGTATATGGGTGGGTGCCATGGAGGCTCAGAGTCGCTCTAAAGCTATTCCTCTGGCTTTAAAATCTAGCCACTAAAGCAAAGATTTCTTTTTTTTTTAATTTGAAGCTTTAATTTGAATTTTCCATCACCGATCTTCACAAGGGGTATGCCGCAAGTTGACTCCCAGAGCCTTATCAGTCCTACCTGCCTACTCCACGCCTCCACGCCTCCACGTCTGTGTACTTGTTTTCTTTTGTTTGGCTTCTGCGCAGCTGTTTGCGTTTTGCTTTGTACGCCTCTTTCGCTGCTTGAACTTGCCGAAGGTGTAGAGAGGGGAGGAGCAGTAGACAGAGGGGAAGGCGAAGTACTGATAAGCCGGCAGGCATGCAGGCCAAGCTGACATGTAGAGGGCGCCAGCGAGTATCAGTGATCGCGCGACAAGTGCACCCGCGGCAACATCGATGCTCGATGTGAGGCATACCAAAAAGCTTCGTTTTTGTACAAATCCTTCGACTGCGCTTTAACCACTTCGACTGGAGTTGAGAGTGGACTGCCCATAAGTGCTCCATAATGGCAAAATGCGTTCAAATATATTTTTAATTGCCAGTTGGGCTGGCAAACAGAAATGACGGCCCACAAGCGCCAAGAGTCTGAATGAAAAGGCAAAAACGAAAAGACCACAGCGGCCTGACAAGCAATTTCGACTGCAAATGGCGAACAAATTGGTAGCGCAGACAGGGGAGGGATGGGTTGGGAAAACTAGTGCCAAACAAAAGGGGATGACAGCATAAATAAACAAGCTGCGAGATACAAATGACGGCTCACAGGCATTTAGCCAGGCACTTAATTCAATGAAACCCAACCACGCGCACGCACAAGCACAACTACACTCCCACCGACAGACGCAGCCAAAGATACAGATAGAGATACGTACGTCTGTGCATCGGTAAAAGTAATCGATTTGCCAGTTGCCTTTGTCATCGGCCCTTTGAGGTGGCTGACAGCTGGGGCTCCCTTAACCCTTCCTGGGGGCACTCACTCTCCCGCTTTGACCGCCTGTCAGTGACACTGCTCTCAAAGCGTGCAGCTCTTTTGTCCGCTAACCATCTCATTATTTGGCCTGCTTGCACTCGACTTTTGCTTGGTAATACTCGGGGTCTGTGTGGTAAACATGCCCGGCTATGACTCTATATATAGGCCTTTGATTGTTGGTCGTTTCAATAGGCATTATAATTCAATGTCAACATTGAATTGCCCCCTTGGTGGAAGACCATTATTCCATAGCCAGTGATCTTCAGTAGGGCAAGCTTTGAGGCTCAAGGGTACAGTCAGGCGGGGGCTGCTGCTGGCAAGTGAGAAATGGCACCGAAATGAGTTTTATGGCTCCTCTTCCTTAACATGTAAAGGAACCTGCCGTCAGAAACTTTTCGCTGATTTCCTTCAGTATGAGGAGCAATTAAATTGTATTTTTACCTGCCACTTTGATGACTAATCCGCAGCACTTAATTCTGCGGATATACTCGAGTAAAGGAATAGAATAATTTGGGCACCATCCCCAAATCCAATTTGCTTTGACCGCCGCATTAGCCTCATTAACATCACCATAGAGACGAGACCCCTCGCCTGGCAACCCCGACACCACCCACGGAAATAAAAAAGTGCTCGACTTGCTCCAATTTTAATTACTTCCCACAGGCCGTTGATGGTGTGGGTTACATAAAAACCCAAGACTCTGACGATGGGGAATGGAACGTGGACTGGGGACTGGAATTGGAGGACTGGGCACTGGGCACAGGGCACTGATGAGTGATGGGAGGGAAGTTCGATAATTGTGCTAAAATCGAATGACCTTGATGGGTGGGACACGCCGCGGGGCTGTTGCTGGTGCGAAAAGTGGTCAGGTTACCTGGTGTTTACCTCTAATTAACGAGATAATCGACGACGCTGCTGCCTCCGATCGCCATTATCACTGTAATCATCATCATCAGCAATATGTGGCTACGGGGCAAACCATTTAGCCGAGCGATTTGTCAACGCTTCTTTGTGGCACCTGGCCAAGAGTGGCTGTGGATGGAGAGCAGTCTGAAGGAGTCTGATGAGGCGGAGGCGACGGCGACATTCATTCGCCATTTGTCATAATTTGTTGCCCCCCCCCCACAATACATATGTAGGTTGAAGCATTTAAGTAAATGTATAACACACATTTTTGGATAAATTTAGCTTTTTTTTTTTGCCATGATTTGCATCTTTCCGCTTTGCTCTTCCTTTCCGTCAAATTGGTAAAAGGTAAAAGTAAAAATAAATTTTGGGTTGGCGTGAAATGAAATCATTTACTATAATTTTTTTTAGGAATTATTTCAATCATTTCTGGTGGATATTCAATTGATAAAACTAAGTTTTATTTTTGGTTAAAAGAAGGGAAGGAAGTTGCCTATCTAGCTCCCCTTTAACCTGAGGTTTCTTTCATCAAATTCTTCGGAAAGCCATAAATGTATTTCCCATTGTATCTCAGCCTTCTTCTTTTTTTTTGAGCAACAATTGACTGCGGCTTGTTTCTATTTTTAACCATCGTTTGACCTACGCATTCTGCGGACCCAATCCTCAGCTGTGGAATGCTCTTCTCGAATGCCATTGGCCAACTAATCGACTTGTAGGTTCACATCTCAATGACAAAGCCCCAAAGCTTCTGCGTTTTTGTTGCCGTTTGCTGTGCGTTTGCTGTGCGTGGCACTTGACGTGCAACAAGTGGCACGTCGAGTGTAGCATCCCGAGCTCTAGCTGTGCTTCATCGATTGGAAATACCCCCCGACTCGGCGGCAATGTCAATGGAGCAGCAAGCACCACCAGCGAAGGGCACGAGACGAGACCAGTGAAGCCAATGCCAAGAGGCGACGGCGAAGGCGAAGGGTAAGGCGATCGGTGCGAATCAATGGATGTGTGTGGCAGTGGGGCTACTGCACAGGTGACCTGATTTTCGGGTTTCATCACCATCTCTATTCCACTGCTCTCTCTCACTCTCTATCTCTTACTGCTCTCTCTCTCTCTCTGGATGATGGACGGACCCTTCTGTCGCCAACAGTTGCGGCTTCTTCAGTGCGGTGCCAAGTGCACCAATTTCCAATCAATTCGATGACGTAAAGCAACCTTGCTGCCATTATGTACGCCCCAGCTTCTTGTCCAACGTGTGGTACAACGTACTTACCATTTCTCTCCCGGACCCGATGCGGCGGCTGCAATTACTCGTACGATTTATGATTTATGTGTGGACAGCAAGTGGACAAGTGTCTTCGGATTCGTATTCGTAGTCGTGGTCGTATTCGGTTTATTTGCTCTCCATCTTTCGGTGTGCACCAAATCCAATTACGATCCAAGAGCGCTGCTGCCAAGCCGCATGCCACACTCACTTGATGCTGCTGCTGCTGCTGCTCCGGCTGCTGTTTTGTTTTATCATTTTATTGCTTCGACTTCTTTTTTCATATTGTTTGCTGTTTGGCTTCAATTATAAAATTGATTTTCATTTTGTTACGTTTGTTTCGTAATTGTTGTCGTAGGTGTTGAAAGTGTCTACTGTAGATGGTTGAATGCTGCCTGCTGACTGCTGACTGGCGACTGTTGCCGCCGGTTGACAGTTGGAGGAAATTATGTGAATGGCCTTGAAAAGCCCTTCGGTTTTTGTTTTCTTTTTCATGTTCAATTAATTGAATTTATGTTCAAGTATTTTTCGGATTTAATTGGGAAATTCGGAAGGTAAGAATGGGCCACTGAATGACAGACAGTTGGCATTACTCTTTGATTGAGGGTTCTGCTGCAAGGGAATATTGATTTATTTGGTCTTGAATTTTTAGCCCTTTGTTCCCTAACAGATAACAGAAATTCCCGCTGGTTTAGGTTTTACTTGAAGGAAACCTTTTGAGGGAATTCTCTTGCCTTGTGCTATCCATTTTGGGATACAAATTTATGTGATATCTTTCTTGTAGCTTGTAGTATTATCCCAGCAAATCCTGGACCCACATAAAGGGACTTGCAAGTGCAGGATATATTTTCACACCCACATTTTCCACCTTTAAATGTTTCTCTTCCGCTTCTGTTCATATTACTTAATGCTGAACTGGAACTGGGATTATCTGTGGGCTTGGAATCACTTGACCTGGGCCACTGCCAGGCTGGATGCACAAACTCAAAGAGCAAGCTCGACTTGGTGCCACATGAATGAACTGCGCCCCCCCATTGATGGCAGATGCCCGTGGCGAGTGCATAATCGTGGGTCACTTTCGATTCCGAGACAGCGGCTCGAGTGCGCTCCAATTGTGAAAATGACACTTGGCGCACTCGTCCGAAGGCTGTCGCTGGCTGCATCCAAGTGTTGTATCTCTCAGACACAGCATACAGCATACAAGATGTGTGTGAGAGTGTTACACAAAAAACGTCTTCGGCCTGGGGCTCGGACCAAGTGTGCTGGGGATGAGCTGACGAGGAGGAAGCTTTTGCGGAGCTCCCCACCCGCTGTGCCACTGTGGCACCGTGGCAGTGGGTCAGTGGCTGACAGACGCCCAGCTTAACGGTAAACCAAATGGATTTACAGCTTGGGGTTTTGTCTCCATTTGGATTGCTCTAATTTCTCGCTTGAAGACATCAAAAGACACGTGTCGCATGCCAGCCTCTCCTGCCCTGGGCCAAGTTCATCTCCATGGAAATCCCTCTCCCTCTCTCTCTCCCTCTCTCTTGGGTCACTCTTTTGCACTCTCGTTCGGACGCTGTGTGTGCTTGTTTGTGTATCTCTTTTGATGCTTAATTAAATTCATTTTTTCCGTTTACCTTTTGTAATGATATTTTTGGGATTGTTGGAGGCGCGCGCACTCAGCGTGTCCGACTCGACTCTCCGACGCTTCGTCGCTCGAATAATATAAATGCCCAGCGCGGCGCTCCAAACCGCATCAGTCGACATTCGAGCTTCTCCACCGAAGCAGTCAGTCAATCGAGCTGTAAAGGATTACGGGTTAGTCAGTCACCAAAACTAGAAGGGATCTCATCTCCAGGAGCAATCGTTAGCCATGCGTGTCTCGTCGCTGTTTGTCGTCTGTGTGGCCACGCTGGTCGCCGGAGCTGTGGCTCGTCCTGAGCCACCATCGCCCTATGCCTACCACGGATTACCACAGCAGCAGAGCCAGCGGGCACTGCCACTCAATGGTGAGTAGTACCATTCAGGTGGAGGCAGATCCATTAACAGTCCACCTACCTCTTCCATAGCTCATCCCGCGGCGCCACAAATCTATCAGACGCTGCCACAGGAGCAGTCGTTTGCCAACTTTGCGCTGCCTCCAGTGCAGCAGCTTCAGGCACAGCCACAGCCACAAATGATTTACCTGCCTCCCCAGCAGCAACAGCAGCAACAGCAGCAGCAACAGCAGCAGCAGCAGGATGCCATTCTCGAGCAGGTTGCCGAGCCCCTGAACTCCTACGATGACAGCTACAACATGGCCCATCGCCTGTCGGGCGTGCAGCATGCCAGTGGCTACAACAACGCACCGCAGGAGACCAAGATCCACAAGCACATCTACGTCCATGTGCCGCCCAAGGACTTCGAGGAGGAGGATGCCGTGCAGCCACGCGTGCACCACCAGGTGGGACCCAAGCAGAAGCACTACAAGATCGTCTTCATCAAGGCCCCATCGGCCCCGGCGCTGCGCGCACCCATCGTGCCACCGCCACCACAGAACGAGGAGAAGACCCTGATCTATGTGCTGCACAAGAAGCCCGAGCAGGAGCAGGACATTGTCATCCCCACGCCACCGCCCACCAAGCCATCCAAGCCCGAGGTCTACTTCATCAAGTACAAGACCAAGAAGGAGGAGGCCCCCGTCTACGGTCCCCCGCCCTCCGATATGGAGCCCCGTCAGGCCACCGCCGAGGACTTTGCTCCGCTCGCAGAAATCGGCGATGTCCTGCCACCCACCACCCTGGCACCCGAGCCAGAGATCGAGCAGCCCGCCGCCATTCCCTCGGCCATCTATGGCCCGCCCACGGCGCCCGCCTACACGGGCGAGGAGGTGCAGACCACTCTGTCGGCCCCCGCCAACCAGTACCTGCCCCCTGCCACTGCCCCCGCCGCCCTGGCCGTCGAGGAGCCCTCCATGGCGCCCATCATCGTCGAGGAGCAGCAGGAGCAGCGTCAGGCTCACATTCCCGCCACCAACTACGGTCCCCCCAACCGCTTCTTCCTCAAGAAGCTGAAGTAGGATCGAACTGCAATGGAGATGGAGATGTCTTAGCCAATTTCTCGTTTGTCATAGTCTAATGTCCAAATGGATGCATCCCCTACCGCCTATCCCTGCCCCCAGCACACCTCCCCACCACTGCACTGCATACACTCTCGCACACACACTCACAAACACACACACACTCACATACACACGTGCAGCACACGTTTCCCGTTGTTTTGCTCGTTTGTAAAATTTGTTAAATTTGTTAAATTTGTGTAGATAATAAAAATCGAATTTATAGAAGAAAAAGAAAAACACCAAAGGGAAGTTCCATTGGGAGGCAGAATGTTGGGGATTGAGTGGTCTCTAAAATGTTCAAGAAATGATAAGCAAATGTAAGATAAAGATATTATAAGGATCCAACCAGATATAGAAGGATTTATCAAGCATTTCAAATGAACTGAAAGTTATCTTCGGGGAAAGTTCACAAAGTTTTGTAGTTACAGAAATGTGTCTTTGCATTTCAATTGCTTCTTAATGAGTAATTATATCAAATGAAATTTAAGGGATATAAATAAGGCAGAGTATCCATCTCTGTAAAATTTATTTATAATAAACAGAATAATAATTCGAGGATTTGGATTGCCATAATGTTGGTTTCAACTCGTTTTTGATGCTGTAGGATTCTCTTATTTTAATCAGCTTTTATTCTCTTATCTTCTTTTATTCTACCCTTCTTAATTTTAACCCATGAAGAAAATACTTTCTTCTCCTTACTTATGGCATTGTAATCTCTCTCCTCCTCTACTATTTTCCCTAACAAATATGAAGCTGCACGTATTTCGCGTTTCAGCGATTTAATGTTGGCTAATACGCGCACTCGTGCTGCCGGCCAAAATGATAATTGACCTTTAAGCGGAGAGCCGACCTTGACGGATTTACAGCTCGTTTAATTGCGTTACGTTTTGTTAATTTCTGCGGTTGGGCCGAAGCTAAGCCACTGGCAATGCCAATGCCAATGCCCTTCCTCATTGCCCTGTGGCATGTGCTGGCTGTGGCATGTGCGCTGTGTGCAACATGTTGCCCAGCGTTTCCCGCCAAAACCAACAGTTGATTGCGGTGCCTGCGCAAAGCGATGGCAACATGTTGCGCCGCCCCCCCAGGACCAGAAGTGGGCGCCAGAGTGTGGGGCTGCCTCGAATGGCTCGTGCCAGAGCTTCGTGTCCGGCTGATCTGCAGTGTAGGGCTCGTGGGTGCTGCCAGTGGCACTGCCACTGCCAACGGATGCCGCATTCAGTTCGCTTTCTGTGCTCGTGTGATTCGCACCGCTGGTGGGCGTTCTCATTCGCTTAGGCAACAGTTCCATGTGGCCCACGTACGACTCGACTCAACTCGACTCGACTCGACTCGGCCAAAAACGGGACTTATAAACGCATAAAAAAGCCATTCGATTCAATTGAAGATGGGCACGCGATGCAATAACCAACAAAACAATTAACAAGCTGCGAATATTCATTAAGTGGCTAACGCTGCGTATACGCAATACGCGTTTCAGTGACGTATACGTAATTCCAGTGGACAATTGGTGATACAAAAGTGTGTGCTCGAATGTGAAATTGTTCAACATTGTTTCGGTTCATTATTTCTGCCATTGACATTGACATTGTCATTGCCGCCTTCTCTCTCCGTGGGGCTGCCGCCCCGCTGCAGTTCCGCTTGAGGAGGAGGAGTAGGAGGAGGAAGAGCAGGAGGGCTCGTTCCCAGGTGAGTTGTAATGAGCTTTATTTGACTGCTAATCAGCTTGTCCTCCGCGCTGGCATCGGGCTTGTCGCTGCTCTGTTGTTTCTGCTTGTTAGCATTCAGTCAGATTTCGCACATTCTCCTTGGCATCTGTTCTGGGTGGGATTATCTCCAGGTTCGCTTTGGGTCTCGCTTTCATGACCAGTGGCACATGACCAGCATTTAATGGCAGACCATACCCATTTTCGCATAAATATTTAAGGGCTCTGAGAAGATTGCTTAAAGTGTCAAAATTGATTTCCCTGCGGCACCTGCCAGACAGCTGTCAAACACAATTTTAGACCCATTTCAGCAGCTCGATTAGAGTTGAAACTACTCCTAATTGACTGCTATGGGTGATACGAGTACACCTGTCAGCCAATAAGCTGATTGGCTTTAGGAGAAATCTCCTCAGTGGACTCCGGGTCCTGCCATTATGATTGGCCATTCTGTTTGGTCGACACAAATGCGAAATACAATTTCATCGCAAATTTTGTACTTATATTACATTATCCTTGGCCTTAGCCGGAAGTATCATCAATCAGCCGCTTGTTCCTTTAAGCTGGGCAGGGATATATGTATTAAGCATACGCAACGTTGTCGCCAGTCGAGCACTAAATATTGCATGCTACGAGTACGCCCCTCGTATGGACGGTCCTCTAAGTCCATCCACGCCATCCATTTGCTGCTCGTTGACAAAGAGGACAACAAAAGGTGGCGTTGTCGCGGGGATGGGTGGGGGGGCTAATTATAAATTATGCAGCACGCAATCCCCCTACGTTTTGCTCATGTGTGCTGCAGGTGAATAACGTGTATTTTATCATCAATTTTGCAGGGGAATCTCTTTGCCGTTTTTTTTTTGGGAGGCACTAAGGGCCAAAGGACAAAGGCCTTCTTTGAACGTCAGCTTTAATTGGCTGGGGCCTGGTTTAAGCATTGGTCTTGGTCCTCTCCGTGCTCTGTGCCTCTCTGTGCTCTGTGCTGTTTACTGTTTTGACACTTTGGCCGGGTTTATGTGTCGCTTTAATGTCGACGCGTGTCGAGGCGGCCGAGATTTATGGCTTGTCTGCAACGGTTTATCTGTTTGTCTTGTCCTCAGCGAATGTATCTCTGTTGCTGCCGGTGGACAGTGCTTTATTCATAAAGTCAACAACAGCCTCCTGGCATTTACATATGTATGTGTCTGTGAACGTTTGTATGTTCGGTGATAATCAGATCGACAGCATGAGCTGCCAAAATCAATATTGACACAGTGAACACTTTGGCGGGAATACTTCTGTATATCTAACGACAGCAATGGCATTTCCCCCATCATTTCCAGCAGCATCATAAATAATAATCAATTCAATGTCAGACAGTCACAATTTCTCAGCATTTTTTTTTTTTAGTTTTTTTTTTTCTGCTGCGTCTCTGCTTTTTTTTGACAGCGCGATTCTGACACGAATTCACGTTCCCCATTCCCTTTCACGCCCACTTGTCACGCCCATTTTATGTACTTCAGTTTTTAGTTTGATGCGCGGCGGAAAGTGAATTTAAGTTGTGAAAAAGCGAGCCAAGAAAATGAGTGAAATAATCAAAGTGTTTGAATATTAAAAAAAAAAAAAATGGTAGATGGCAGGAAACAGCCAAACGGAAATTGGGAAATACCTTTGAAAAATTGCTGCTGATTTAACTTCAAATAAATCGCGATTATGGAAATAGGGAGAAGGGAAAAATTGATTGAGAATTTGTTGATTAATGTCCATGGAAATATTAGATTTTTCGAATTTATAATTTGAGGGCTCCTAACACTGACTAAGCTTGAGCATACTAATTTGGCAAAAATTCATAGAGGGGTTCTTAAAATTTTGAATATGGGTAAATTCCTGTTTGATTTGGAATGCTGTAGAAAATACGTCTTCAGGCGTTTAATTTTCCGCGCCTTTTTCTGCTACGTCTAATCCTGGAGAAATTGGGTTTCTTTTACTTATTTCTTTCTTTTTGAAGAATCCATTTATCCGTAATTTTAAATGATGCATCCACTCCACAACTTTAAGTTAAAATTCGCCTTTAAATTCTTCATGCTTCTGATTTTTCTCTTTTTAGTTCCCCTATTACAATTATTTTACACTAATACCGTTAAAAATTAAAGTTGGAAATATTTATATAATGAAAATAATTTACTTGATATCCGTACCGCACTAACCAAACCCAATTAAAATTAATTTCCAATAATTAGTTTCGTAAATTATTCAGCCAATTTTATTTGTGGTTATCGAATATGAATTCTCAAATATTTTACAAAATTGCATGCTACTTAATTGAATAAATCAGCGGGACTTGTTTGCGTACACATTTCCATGGCGGTTAATTTTGGGGAAATTGGTTTTGCTTTCCATTCACCACTCATCGAATCACATCACAATTGAAATGGCCACTCAACTTCTGGGTCTTGTGTATACACTCTCGTAATTCTGGGTTTTTTTTTTGCACAAATAACTCAACGCCTGTATTAAAATTCCAAAAGATGGCCCAACGGAGGTGAGGAAATATGTGTCCACAGCGCATTTGAGGCCCATGAATACTTCTGGGTTTTTGCACGCAGATGAGGCTGGGGACGGGGCCAGGCGGATGCTAGGCTATTTATCCAGATTTTCGGAAATCACATTGAAAATAGCAAACTAAACAAAATTAAATGGGAAACAGAAAAAGTTTCGCACACGCACATAGACGAGCACACATTATAAGCAGCTTTTTTTTGTGTGTTGATATATTGAGGTGCTCCTCACCATCCACCACTCGGCTGTTCTTCAAAGCACTTAGTACGCTGCCAAGAACACTGTATAACAAACACTGTGGCGAGATAACCAGAGCAACGACATGACAACAAATTGAATTTGTTTATACACAAAATAGACACGAAAACACGCCAGCAGAGAAACTTTCAAATAGTTGACTGACTAAAGGTAGAAACAACAACAACAAACAAAACAAGCAAAAAACTGCAAGCCCGTCGGTGTTTATAAAATGTGATTTAGGAGAGAAGACCCTGATAGATAGGGACAGCGCTGCAGATGCTTGCTCACAGTCGTTCCTGTGCATTTTTTAAATATACATAATTCAAAATAATCCCATAAACAAAATCTGCATGATGCAGTTCACCTCGAACCAGAGATTGATGCCTTCGAAGCGGAGCAGCGAAAAAATAGAATATTAAAAATGCTTTGGCTTAAAGTTTTGCTCTTTGCTTGGCTGTTTTGTTTGCCAAAAACTTTCTTGTCATTCAGCGATTTTTTATCTTCGAAATTGTTTTCGCTGTAGAATTTATTCATTTCTCAGGCTCAAGGCGAGCAGATTTATGCTGGCCTTAGAGCCTGGCTGCCCTGCCAATGATATGCAAATGTTCGCATAAATAGACTGAGGAAAAGGCGTGTTCATGCAACAATCAAAAAACATTTCGCTTTGGCTCTCTGCTAATGGGGCGTATGTGTAATATTTCAGCAGCATATTCACAAATGGCTCCGTTGAAGTATAAGAAATGAAAACAAAAAAAAAATGAGCCAACATCTTTGCCTTTCGGCTTAGCTGTTACTCTTTTTTCTTGTTTGACTTGTCCTGTTCAATTACATCATCCAAATATGCTTTACATGCAGGAATAGAAATTTTTGTTTGCCAGCCTCAAGTATTTCGCCGAATTCACATTTTGATTGTAACTTTTGCGTAAGCACAAGAACTCAACTGAAGTGAAGTGTTCATGCATGTGGAAATATGGAAACTTCAACCCTAAATGGGAAAAGGCAAAACCTTTTTTGACCACGCAAGCAGAGGAGCGGTGGCCCCTTCCGGTAATAAAATGTAATCAAAAATTAATTCAGCTAAATTTGGCATTTTATGGGAAAGTTCGCATTGTTTTAAAAAAAGTACGAGCATGGGGTGAAAGAGTTTTCCACGTTTTTTGCTGCTTTAATTGCGTGCTGTGCGAATTATTTCAGCTGTTAAATGCAACCAAATTGGCTGCATTATGTCGCAGAAATGGCATCACATCTCCCAGAGTCCATTCAAGTGCAGAACTTGGTACAGAGCTCGACCTGTGAATGGCTTTTCCATTTCACTTCAGTGGCAGTGTCCTTTGCTGTGGAAAAACTGCACCATAGAAGTGTTCGCCAGTGAAGCCAGGGTGAGGGCCATTCCCAAGGCACTGACAATTGTTGGTTGACACACTTCCAGGCGCTCTTTTGCCACTGCCCGAGAACGAGTGTCATTAGGTGGCCGGGAAACATTAGTTCTGTGTTTTTCTTTCCGCCATTGGGGAAAACGTTTGAACGAGCGTGTTTGAAAAGTTCACCCCCGAAATAAAATATAAAAAAAAGGGCAACAAAACGATTTCCCTTTGAGCAACAAACGGAATATTTATTGCTGCCACAGATGTTTGTGATATTTGCCTGTCTTTATGTTGTTGGCCCTGAACTCGAGGCTCGGCGACCGCAGCCCACAGCCCAGAGCCCACAGCCCAAAGCCTACAGCCATTGTGGAATTTTCCAAAGGTTGTCGTGACCCTACAACAATCGAACAAAATCAAGCGAAAAGTAATACCGAAAACCCTAGAAAACGGCAACGAACCAAATGAGTTGAGCTTTGATAAATTAACAGAGCGGAGAGGCAGCCACAGCCTAAGCATTGGATTCACAAGAAGTGTAGCTGTCCCATTGAGCTTAAAGGATTTAAGGACGTGTCTGGGCGCTCGCCAAAGTGAATAATGAGCCCGGAAGGCGACTGACAGATGATGTGCCATGTGCGACCTTCACACAATAGCAACAAATGCCCAAAGGTCCCTCCTTTTATGATGTTAATTTGTCGACCATATGCAGAACTTCAAGCGGAAAGAAGCTCGAACCAGTGGAGAAAACTTGCCCCAAGTAAAATATGCAAATCACTCTGCAGCTTCAATTCAGAGAAGTATTAGAGAAGCCCTCAGCCCAGTGTCATTCATTAGGTTGAATATTTCAGATTTGGGTTGTGAGAAATTGAAATTTGAATGTGGGTCGTGATAACCAAACCCTTTTGACTCCGGACTCCGGACCCAAGCTACCCAAGAATTCCCTCTCGTATTTTCTTATGCGTAAAAGACTTTCCGTTGAGTCATTTGCTGCTGGTGTTGCTGTCCGTTGCATCGCTCCCTTGAGTGTTATATATATGTAACAGATGTAACACTCTAGCGATGTCGAGATAGCGTCCAGCATTCGATCTTATCTGGCAAACACTGGACGTGGAAGAGCCATTATGGTAATGGCTCCGCCATATAAAAGCGCGTTCTGCGATGTTTGGTTTTTCAGTGCAAAGAGCTGAGAAAATGCGGAAGTTTTACCACGGTGAGATTGGAGTGGCGTTGCCCAGGATATCGCTAACCCTCTGTCCCCTCGAACAGTGTGTTGCATGTGGACATTGCTATGTCTGATGTCGCGGCCATCGCTGGCTGCCATCGTTAAGGATGCCGCCGGCAAGTGTATGGAGGGCTCGGTGGAAGGCGATCCCCAGGACTGTGCGGGCTACTTTCAGTGCCTGGACGGGGCCATCCTGCATCAGCAGTGCCCTGAAGGAGCCTACTTTGAGGTCACCTATGAGGTGTGCGTCATCGACGAGAAGGGCATCTGCCCGCCCGCAGAACACAAGTGCACCGAACTGGAGCTGGCAGAGGATCCCGCGGACTGTGCCGGATATCTGCAGTGCATCAATGGACTCTTTGCGCAGCAGAAGTGCGCCGCTGGGGCCTATTTTAATCAGACCTCGAAAAGCTGTCTCGTGGATGGGAATGTGGCCTGTGCGCCCTTGCAGGAAAGGTGCAACGATGGCGAGCTCAAAGCGGACCCCGAAGATTGCGCTGGATATCTGCAGTGCGTGAACGGAGTACTCGTGCGGGAGAAGTGCGACAAGGGCAGCTACTTCAATGTGAGCTGGAGCCAGTGTGTGGTAGATGTCGGTTTTTCCGCCGAGAACTGCACCGAAGGAGAGCTAAAATGCGACCCGAATGACTGTGCCGCATACCTACAGTGCAGCGATGGGGAGTTCGTGGCCGAGCAGTGCTCCAGTGGCAGCTACTTCAATTCCAGCCTCAATATATGTCAGGTCGATGTGAACGGCATCTGTGTGGCACCTCCCGAGAACTGCACAGAAGGAGAGCTGGATGTGGACCCCAACGACTGTGCCGGATACCTGAAGTGCATCGATGGGGAGTTCGTGGCAGAGCCGTGCCCCAGTGGCAGCTACTTTGATGCCAAGCTGGAGCTTTGCTTGATCGACGACGACGGCATCTGTTTGCCGACTGTGAAGAAGTGCACCGAGCGAGAGATGCAAGAAGATCCCGAGGATTGCGCCGGATACCGGCAGTGCGTTGGCCAGGAGCTGGTGCAGTTGAAGTGTGCTCCTGGCAGCTACTTCAATGCCACAGCAAGCAGCTGCATGCTGGACGAGGATGAAGTATGCGTGTCGCCGACAGTGCGCTGCTTGGAGGGAGAACTGACGGAGGATGCCGAAAACTGTGCGGGTTTCTTGAGCTGTGTCGACGGTCTGTTCGTGGCCCAGCAATGTGGCAGCGGAGAATACTTCCATCCAGGATTGCTGGAGTGCCTAGACGATGATCGAAACATTTGCAACAGACAGTGCCGTTCAAGTGCCAGGGGCAGATGCGTTGAGGGCAAAAGGATGGCGGATCCCCAGGACTGTGCGGGCTATCTGGAGTGCATTGATGGGCAGCTGGTGGAGCAGATATGCGCCCGAGGCAGCTACTTCGAGACCACCCTCAGGGGCTGTTTTATCGACGAGAACCACCGCTGCGTGACGGACCAAGAGTGATTCCTAATGCACAATAAATTATCTCAATTTGCCGACTTCCCCGCCGACGAGAATAGCTGCGGCTACAATAAATCTAATTAAATGGGAAGTTGCTGCTTAATTTAGTTCAAATTTGGTTGCCGGGACTTTCGCCAAAATTTGTTTTTATTGCCTGTCGATTGTGGGGCAACAGCAGTGACTTTTCGGTTTAGTGTGATAACAAAACGAGTGTTCTTTGTTAATCGGAGGCGTTCTTGAACTGATTATGCCCTGAAGTTTTCGGAAATGTACGAGTGCTAGACCACTAGATAAGCAGCAGCAACAGCAGCAGCAATCAGATTTGACTCACCCGGGAATGTGTTGCTTTGTGCGTCACAGCAGCACCATATGGCCAGCGCCATGGTCCTTCCCAACTGGGCCCAAAACTTCAAAGAATGTTTTGTTCGTAATTAAAATCGAATTGAATTCCCATTAGGGGCATGGGCGTGTCTTCAGCGCTGTGGCTTGTCCGCCTGAAAGGACCTTTCTTCCAATTAATTGAACGGTTACCGGGGCAAGGCGATATTGCTTCGCTTCGGATTTATTTGCAAATGAAACACGCCCACGGTTCGGGGCATTTGGCTGGGAAAGCTCTACTTCTTGTTCACTTTAACGTTTATCAGGAACAAGTTGAAAATGTAAATGTTCTTGGTGTCTCCGGGGCCACCGGGTTTTGGGGTGTTCGGCTTCTCTGGACCAGCGGGTGTTGTGGTGGAACCTTCCTCCGGTGCAGCAGTTGAAGATTCATCTTCCTGGGCACCTGTGGTAGAATCATCTTCTGGGATAGCTGTCGTAGAACCATCTTCTGGGACAGCTGTGGTAGGATCTTCTTCCTGTTCAGCTGTGGTAGAATCTTCTTCAGGTGCGGCGGTGGTAGAGTCATCACCTCCTTCTTCAGGCGCGGAAGTGGTAGAATCTATGTCTGGTGCGTCCGTGGTAGAATCTTCTGGGTCTGAGGTAGTAGAATCATCTTCAACAGCGGTGGTAGTTGAATCATCTTCCGGGACAGAAGTGGTAGAGTCGTCTTCTCCATCTTCTGGGACAGAAGTGGTGGAATCTTCTTCTGAAGCTTCAGTTGTAGAGTCATCTTCTGGTGCAGCGGTGGTAGAATCATCCTCTGGCTCTGAGGTGGTGGAATCTTCCTCTGGAGCTTCCGTTGTGGAGTCATCTTCAGGGGCAGCGGTGGTAGAATCATCCTCTGTGGTAGAATCATCTTCAGCAGCGGCGGTAGTTGAATCGTCTTCTCCATCTTCTGGAGCAGAAGTGGTGGAATCTTCCTCTGGATCTTCAGTTGTGGAGTCATCTTCAGGTGCACCTGTGGTAGAATCATCTTCGGGTGCAGAAGTGGTGGAATCTTCGTCTGTGATTTCAGTGGTAGAATCTTCTGGGTCTGAGGTGGTTGAATCTTCGTCAGCAGTGGCGGTAGTTGAATCATCTTCTGGGACAGATGTGGTAGAGTCGTCTTCTCCATCCTCCGGCGCGGCAGTGGTAGTGGTAGTATCATTTTCAGAGGCAGAAGTTGTGGAGTCATCTTCAGAGGCAGCGGTGGTAGAATCATCCTCTGGGACTGAGGTGGTAGAATCATCTTCTCCATCTTCTGGGGCAGAAGTGGTAGAATCATCTTCTGGGACTGAGTTAGTAGAATCATCCTCTGGAGCAGCGGTGGTGGAATCTTCTTCAGCTGCAGCTGTGGTAGAATCATTACCTTCTCCATCCTCAGGAGCGGCTGTGGTTGTCTCATCTCCTCCATCCTCGGGGGCTGCAGTGGTAGAATCATCTACAGGGGCTGCCGTCGTGGAATCATTGTCACCTCCATCTTCAGGAGCAGCGGTGGTGGAGTCATCTTCTCCATCTTCAGGTGCGGCAGTGGTGGAACCATCCTCTGGGGCTGCGGTGGTGGAGTCATCTTCTCCATCTTCAGGTGCGGCAGTGGTGGAACCATCCTCTGGGGCTGCGGTGGTGGAGTCATTTTCTCCATCTTCAGGTGCGGCAGTAGTGGAGACATCTCCTCCATCCTCTGGGGCTGCGGTGGTAGAATCATCTTCGCCGCCAGGGGCTGGAGTGGTGGACCCTTCTTCAGGCGCTGGAGTGCTAGAATCTTCTTCAGGTGCGGCAGTGGTCGAATCATCGGCTCCATTGGCGGTTGTGGAATCATCGGGCACAGTTGGAAGAGTTGTCTCGTCGTTGGACAGCTGTCCCAGACCGAAGGGCGACTGCTGGTTCACTGGCACGTAGAAGACGCCCTCGGCCACGAATATGTTCACTGTGGCCCCCATCAGCACCGAGCTGTACCTGTCGTCGCAGGCATTCTTGTTGGCCTCCTTGTAGGTGTCGCACCGCTTGCTGGGGAAGTTGTTCCACCGCAGTGACTCCACGTAGTATGTGACGGCGCGGGTGTGGGCACAACTACCGCCAATGTCGATGCCGCATCCCGGCTGCGACCTGCCGCCGTTCACGTAGAACGCAGCGCTGCCAATGGGCTTGGTGAATCCCATGGTGCCGCCGGCGGTGTGGATGGACTCCACGTAACGGGCATCATCGCTGGACAGACGCTTCGCGGTGTTGCTGTAGCTGATCAGCGGGCTGGCCGGATCCAGACCGACAACTTTTCCCACCTCGCCAGAGGCGACCTGCTTGGCGGTGTGTCCGGCCACGTGGGCGCCCAGACTGAAGCCCACCAGCTCGAGTGTGTCCAGGGACATTCCGTATTCGTTGACCAGGAAATCGACCAGAGCAGCGATCTTCTTGCCGGCTCCGGAGGCAGCCACAACCGAAGAAGCGTACTCCAGGGAGCGGCCACGCACCCAGTCGACGGCAATCATGTTGTAGTCGCCGGTCTGGAACCAGGCGGCGGCTATCTTGGTGTTCACACCATCCTTGTAGTTGGAGTTCCAGCCGTGGATGGTGATCCTGCAAAGCGAGCACAGTTACGGTTCCACTCCGAAGAAGGAGGAAGAAGGAGGCGCCTACCTGGTGGGATGCTCGGGATTGAAGTTGGAGCCATCAATGGAGGCACGCGTCGCCTTGATCTGCTGCCCCGCGTTCGTGTTGCGCAGCGTGTACAGATAGAAGTTGACTGTGTTCGTGGACAGACGACCCATGATCGTCTCCTGTGCCTCGTAGTGGGCCAATTGTCGCTCGCCCTCGCTGCGGCTCACCCAGCGCAGGGCGCCGTCCTTCTGTGGCACATACCAGCCATTGGCGCCGCTCACACGCAGCGACAGATCCTCAATGGGCCAGGCGCTCACTGAAAAAACCGAAAAATCATTACCTGCCCCTGTCCCTGTCCCTGTTCCGGACTGGAGTGCAAAGTCTCACCTGCTATCACGCAGACTAGTAACAGGAAACACAATCTCATTGTTTGCATGGAAAATTTGAATGGTTCGGTAGCTACAGCCGTCGCAGCTATTTATACCTTTCTTCCTTCTGCTTAAATCCATCCGAAAACGAAGTCGCGGCAACAACAAACAACAACAACAACAACAATTCCGCGATTAGATCGTTTCTAATCGGAAAGATTTAAGTTGCCACCACAGTAAAAGCTCCACGCGCAAAGCTTTTTCGAGTTCCGTTCCCCCTACCAACGAGAGTAATCGATATCGATAGATTTCATAGCTGTGAGCTTTTGCTTAGTTTATTTTTGATGGCGAATCGATGGCTTCAGTTGCCCATGCCATAGGGGGCATCGTTGCGCACGGGCACATAGTAGTCGCCGGACACCATGTAGGCATTGACCACAGCACCCATCTTCACGGAGCTGTAGGAGCTGCCGCAGCTGCTGGCCACGGCGGACTCGTAGTTGCCGCAGCGCATGGTGGGGAAGTTGTCCCGGCTGACAGCCTCCGCGTAATAGGTGACGGAGCGGCTGTGGGCGCAGGAGCCGGTGATATCGAGGCCGCAGCCGGGCTGTGACTTGCCGCCGTTGGGGTAGAAGGCGCCCTTGCCGATGGGCTTCAGGAAGCCGAGGTTGCCGCCGTTGGTCTGGATGGACTCCACATACCAGGCATCGGTGGAGCTGAGACGCTTGTTGGGCGAGTCGTAGCTGAAGAGGGGCAGGGCGGGGTCCAGGCCGATGATGGTGTGCAGCTGGCCGTTCTTCACGTTCTTGCCGGCATAGCCGGACACATGGGCGCCCAGGCTGTGGCCAATGACCATCGTGTTGTCCAGGTTCAGGCCGTGGTTGCTGCGCAGGAAGTTGATCAGAGTCGCCACCTGCTCGCCGACGCCGGGCACAGCCAGCACCGAAGAGGCATAGTCGACGGAGCGGGCACGGCCCCAGTCGACGGTAATCATGTTCATGTCGCCGTGCGAGAACCAGGCATCGCGGACGCCGTAGTTGATGAACTCGTCGGCGCTGGAGGACCAGCCGTGGATGGTGAAGCGCGTGGGGTTGTTGGGGTTGAAGTTGGACGAGGAGATCACCGACGAGGAGGCCTTGATCTCCTGGGCCCAGCCGCGGTTCGACTGTGTGTACAGGTAGAAGGTCACCGGATTGAGGACGTTGCGTGCCTCCTTCTCGGCATGGGCATCCAGAAAGGCCTCGGCCACATCCCTGTCCATCCACTCAAAGCTGCCATCGGCCTGGGGCACATACCAGCCATTCTCTCCGTTCTCGCGCACCTCAACAGCGTTAACTGGAAATGGGTTGGGCGGGGGGGTTAAGGCGGGCTGTGGGTCACCAAAGACTCAACTTACCTGCCAGGAGGCAAAAGGCCAAAGCCAACAGCAGTTTCATGATCATGGCAATGTCAACGACGTTCAACTGACGATCCGTGCTGACACAGGCGTTCCCTTTATACGGATCGGAATCGCGCCAGATCGTATCTCAGACACTTTGGAGCGCAGCACTCGAGATAGGGGGACACTGGATGGCCAGGCCACTCACGCCATGCAAGACCGTCGATAAGGGCGGCCTGTGGTCGGCGGACTGAAGAGCGGAACATGTGTTTTTGGCCGAATGTCCATCTTGATTGTATTCGTATTTGTATTTATTTGAATTGTTTTATTTCTGTCCCGTGTGTAGGGCCGCCAAGCAGTTCACGTTCCCGATACGATTCCGATCGACTACACTTCGTGGCCAATCAATTGAGTTATCAATCCGTCAAGCTACTCGTTGTGAAATCATTATTAGATATCTGCCAATAATCGAATCTTATAAATAGAGAAAAATGATTTGCCCCATCAATACGTAGGGCACACGTCGCCACTTGTCTTTATCTGCATCCTTGCGATCTACGGGCTATCAATATTGAGTGACTTCAAAACAAAATAAACTCATTGTAAATGCGATTTAAATTTCTGCGAGTATTGGAGGATTGTGACGAGCCCCATCCGCAATCTCTGACGTACGAAAAATACATTTGCGCCGCTGACAGCCACTAGAACCCCCCACACAGCCCCGTATCTTGATTCAGATATGTAAGGTGCACATAGACTCTTGAATTTCGCTTCTTTGATTATTTTATTCACTCACATTATGGGGATTCTAGAACTCACCTGCTGCCAGTAAGGCTGCTAGAAAAAATAACACTTTCAGTCTGGAATCTGACCAAATTGTGGTGTACAGAGGCAGGAAACTCTCTCAATTTATGGGTGCAAGCAAAACACTTTTTAATCATCGAATGAGGAGTACTAGAGGAAAACACTTGAGAAATCTCATTTCTGAAACGATCAGATAAAGTTGAGATATCAAGATTATAACTTAGTTGTTAGCAAGTCATTTCCCCAGCTTTGCTGATAAGCAGAGATGTCAATAGAAATGTTTGTACTTGGAACTTTGACTTAGGTGCGCGAATATGTCGGGTATGGGGTTCAGGTTCAGGTTCAGGGGTCACCATTTTGATCTGACGCTGAGTCTTTATCTTTTTGCTGGAATAATCCAAGCGAAAGTAAACAGTAGTAATGATTCTATACAATGGTACTGGTAAGCCTGCCAGGTAAACCCAAATGAACACATTAAAAGTAATCAAAGGAAAATTAACTAAAGAGACCTACTGCAGTCGTAAGAGAATTTCATATAAATACTGCATACCCCTCAAGGATGTCATCAAATGTTTGGCTAGACGTTTCCTTTCCTTTATTTAGTTTCCGGTGCAATTCATTTATTCAAGTGTAATTATTAAGCAATTATTAATTATTACCCCAAAACTCTAATTGAATTTGCTTCTACACACAAATTACTTTCCAATTATATTTAGGAGGCCAACCCCACAATTGCCTTTGGAGTACATCTATTTTAAGATAAGCAAAAATAAAGACGTTTTGGTTTGCAAATTTTTAACAATTTATTGAGTTAAAGTGGCTGAGCACAGGTCTTGATTCGGTCACACCGAATGGAGCCTTGCTCTTGCTGCTGTTGCTGTGAGAAAACACAGATCTCTATTCGATTTTACCGAATGGAGCCTTGCTGTTCACGGGCACATAGAAGTCACCATCGACCATGTAGGCGTTGCTCTCGGCACCCATGCGGACGCTGCTGTAGGTGCTGCCGCACTCCTTGGAGACGGCTGCCTCGTAGTCGTGGCACTTGTGGGTTCCGAAGTTGTCCTCGGTGATGGCCTCAGCGTAATACAGAACTGAGCGGCCGTGGGAGCACGAGCCAGTGACATCCACACCACATCCTGGCTGGGACTTGCCGCCGTTGGGGTAGAAGGCGCCCTTGCCGATGGGCTTCAGGAATCCCAGCTTGCCGCCGTTGGTCTGGATGGACTCCACATAGTGGGCATCATCGCTGGAGAGACGCTTGTTGGGCTTATCGTAGCTGAAGAGGGGAAGGGCAGGGTCAAGACCCACAATGGTGTGGACACGACCCTCGCCAACTTTCTTGCCGGCGTAGCCAGCAACGTGGGCTCCCAGACTGTGTCCGATGACCTCCAGGCTGTCCAGAGACATGCCGTGATGCTCGTGCAGGTAATTGATCATGTCTCCGACCTTGCCGCCTGCTCCGGAAACAGCCAGCACAGAGGAAGCGTAGTCCACGGAACGGGCGCGAGCCCAGTCCACAACAATCACGTTGTAGTCTCCGCGGGACAGCCAGGCCTTGGTGATGCGGGTGTTCATGTCGTCATTGGCGCCTTGGGTCCAGCCGTGGATGACGAAACGGGTGCCATGGTCCTTGTTGAAGTGGGAATCGTCGATGGAGGATGCCTTGGACTTGATTTCCTTACCATCAGTGGGGTTGGACCTGGTGTAGAGGTAGAAGTTGACTGCGTTGGTGCTGATACGGCCTTCCATCTGCTCGCCGTGGGAGAGCAGCTCCTCGGCATCGGACAGATCCATCCACTCGAAGCTGCCATCGATTTTGGGGATGAACCAGCCATTCTCGCCATTGATGCGCTCCTCAATGGACAAAGCAGTCACTGCGAAAATTTCTTTATTAGCGGAAAAGTTCTTTTAGTGGAATATTCGAGGAGAACTCACCTGCTGCCAACAAGGCTGCTAGAACAAATAACACTTTCATATTGGGGTCTTGAACAATTGTGGTGTTCAGTAGCCATTCGCCGCCTTTTATAGATCCCCAACTAATCACCTTCTAATACAAATAAATACTCAAGTGCTATTTTTGTCCAACGATCAGATAGTGGCGCTATCCGGATTAAAATTATCATTGAAAATCGTGCATGTCCACAGCGCGACTGATAAGCACGAAAATCAAAGAAGTCTTTTAAGTTGTAGCTTGGACACTTAAACACTCTTATGGTGCCACAATTGACGTTGGACAGCAAAAGTTTTTGCATATTCCGTGCTGGTACTGCAAAAGACCATTAAAAGTGGGACAGAAATGGAATTTCAGCTTTCGTTCTTTTGGGTGTCGAATCTTTTGATATCTTTCTTGACAGATCCATCAAACATGAGTTCGAGAAAGAAGTAGATGCACAGCAAATAAAATATCGGTTATTCTCTATGGGAGCGGGGGTGTTAGAGAAAGAAGAAGAGGCAAAAAAAAAAAAATACAATTTCGGGAGGAATGTCACCGCTGTACTAATCAAAGAAGTCTTTTAAAACTAGTAGCTTGGACACTTTGACACTTTAACAGTCTTATGGTGCCACATATTAGCACCGCTAATAACGTTACACGGATGACAGTAATTGCCCAAGAAATTCGTATTTTATCATCCACTTCCGCATCAATGCAATAAGGCAAAGTCCGTGGAGGGATTGTGTGAGCAGCCGAAGCGAGTGCGCAGGGGTCTTGTCCCCTAGTAAGTACCATAATAAAATAATAAAATCATTCCATTTCGATTTAATTATTTTTCAATGTTTTGTTGAATTACTTTGAGAAAATAATAACAATAATGGATAAGTTTTAGCCACTAGCAACTTAGACAGAATTTTAGAACTAAAAGAAAAAAACTATGCTAGTCCGTATCGGTTCAATATCCTTACGGGTAACTTTAATATGCTTCTGCATAATTCTTTTAAATTGGATTAACAACGGATCTGTCATTGCCACAAAATCCGCCTTTCGGAGAACTTAACCCAACCGAAACTCTCTTAAAAGTGAATATATTCCAGGATATGCAAAAATCAGATACTTGGGATTAAATTTTTTTAACAATTTATTGGGTTCATGGAAGGGAGCACAGATCTCTAGTTGACCTTGCCGAATGGAGCGTCGCTGTTAACGGGAACGTAGTAGTCACCATCGACCATGTAGGCATTGGTGGTGGCACCCATGCGGACGCTGCTGTAGGTGCTGCCGCACTCCTTGGACACGGCTGCCTCGTAGTCGTGGCACTTGATCGTACCGAAGTTGTCCTCGGTAACGGCCTCGGCGTAATAGGTGACGGAGCGACCGTGGGAGCAGGAGCCGGTCAGGTCAACACCGCAGCCGGGCTGTGACTTGCCGCCGTTGGGGTAGAAGGCCCCCTTGCCGATGGGCTTCAGGAAGCCGAGTGTGCCGCCGTTGGTCTGGATGGACTCCACATACCAGGCATCGCTGGTGGAGAGACGCTTGTTGGGCGAGTCGTAGCTGAAGAGGGGCAGGGCGGGGTCAAGACCCGACAATGGCATGGATACGACCATCGCCAACGGTCTTTCCGGCGTAGCCAGCGACGTGGGCTCCCAGACTGTGTCCGATGACCTCCAGGCTGTCCAGAGACATGCCGTGATGCTCGTTCAGGTATTTGATCATGTCTCCGACCTTAGCACCAGCACCGGGAACAGCCAGCACAGAGGAAGCGTAGTCCACGGAACGGGCGCGAGCCCAGTCCACAACAATCACGTTGTAGTCTCCGCGGGACAGCCAGGCCTTGGTGATGCGGGTGTTCATGTCGTCATTGGCGCTTTGGGTCCAGCCGTGGATGACGAAACGGGTGCCATGGTTCCTGTTGAAGTGGGATCCGTCGATGGAGGATGCATCGGAACTGATTTCCTGTCTGGATGTAGGGTTGGACTTGGTGTAGAGGTAGAAGTTGACTGCGTTGGTGCTGATGCGTCCTTCCATCTGCTCGCCGTGGGAGAGCAGCTCCTCGGCATCGGCCAGATCCATCCACTCGAAGCTGCCATCGATTTTGGGGATGAACCAGCCATTCTCGCCATTGATGCGCTCCTCAATGGGCAAAGCAGACACTGCACAAATATATTTATTAGCGCCAAAGTTCTTTTAGTGGAATATTTGAGGAGAACTTACCTGCTGCCAACAAGGCTGCTAGAAAAAATAACACTTTCATATTGTGGGGTCTTGACCAATTGTGGTGCTCAGTAGCCATTTCCCGCCTTTTATAGACCCCCAACCAATCGCCATTTAATGCAAGTAAACACTTAACATCTATTTTTGGTCCAACGATCTGATTGTGGGGCAACCCTGATTCAAATTAGCATTGATAACGGTTCAGTCGGGACTGCTGCGAGGTAGATAAGAATAGTACATAAATATATATTGGGAATATCCCGCACTCGTACAGTTAAATATCATGACAAGTGGGATATGAAAGGTATTTTAGCTTCGAGATAGAACTTTCTGATACCTTAACAGATTAAACGAACCAATGGGGGGCTTGAGATTTAATGAAATAATTTTGTTTTTTCATTTGAAATTTATTGTTTACAGTTTTGTGGAATTATGTGGGACAACAACACTATTTTCTTAACCGATTTTTAATATGGTGGTATTTTTCCTGGTTTCCCAGCCCGACATTTAGTCATCGAATCAAATCCTAAATTATAGCGAGAAGTGCAGCCTAATGCAAATCACGAGTATTGTTCACTATTTGCACTGCCCACTGTACATAAACATTGTTCACTGCAAATGCTTGCGCACAACAGCGGCCGTTCTTTCGCTCTTCACTCCGCCTTCTTCCTTTTACAGTTACAGCTTACATATGCATTCACAAATAAGCTTTGCTCTCGCGCTCTATCCCATCGTTGTGCTCGACTTAGGCAGCAGCTGAGCTGCTCTTACGCTCTCCTCCATCGCTCTCTCACGCTCTCTTCTAAGCTTTGATGCACAGGGCTTGGGCACGGCGCATTCGGCTCGTTATCAGTTGTAATAACTCTTGCGCTTAAATACATACTTTTACATCGCGCAACATATGTACATTGTACACATGGATATAAATTCAAATAAACAGGAATTGTACATATGTATGTACATGTACATTGCGCTCGACTTTTTATTGAATAAAATCAACAGCTGGTGGAAAAGCTCACTAGCTTAACAAGCTTTACAATTGCAAACAAAAGAATCCACACTTCCAACCACAAATATATGTAAGTGTAAGTCCCCTTGCTTGAATTGCTGTAAAATCCTTATGATAGATAAACCTGCATGCACAGTGGAATCCCGCTACAATAAACGCTAGTCAATTAAATATTTGATCAACAATAGATCATAAATCAGCTAGGAAATCTATGTGAAGGCGCAGAGTGCAGTCATAAATGGCCATAAACTCTCGATGACGAGGACTAGTTTACGAGCTAATTCAGCGTAATTTGTGGCTATCTCAATAGGTGGTTGGACGACATTGGTCTGATAGTTGTTTGGTCTGATAGGGAAGTTCATTGAAGAACTGTCAAGGCATTTCCTGTACCGATGGCCCCCGCCGAGTTATGTTTTAGAAATCTTTTCAGTTGGATTGATGTAAGGTTTTTATTAATGTTCGCTTAGTTAATCATGCCGAAGGGGGCCTTGCTGTTCACGGGCACATAGAAGTCACCGGCAACCATGTAGGCATTGGTGTCGGCTCCCATGCGGACGCTGCTGTAGGTGCTGCCGCAATCCTTGGAGACGGCTGCCTCGTAGTCGTTGCACTTGTGGGTTCCGAAGTTGTCCTCGGACACGGCCTCGGCGTAATAGGTGGTGGAGCGGCCGTGGGAGCAGGCGCCAGTAACGTCCAGAGGGCAGCCGGGCTGGGTCTTACCGCCGTTGGGGTAGAAGGCGCCCTTGCCGATGGGCTTCAGGAAGCCGAGGGTGCCGCCGTTGGTCTGGATGGACTCCACATAGTGGGCATCATCGCTGGAGAGACGCTTGTTGGGCGAGTTGTAGCTGAAGAGGGGAAGTGCGGGGTCCAGACCGATGATTGTGTGCACCTGGCCGTCGGTGTTCTTGCCAGCGTAGCCAGCAACGTGGGCTCCGAGACTATGGCCAATGACGTAGAGGTCGTCCAGAGACAAGTGGTACTCGGAGTGCAGGAAGTTGATCATTTTGGCGACCTTCTTGCCGGTGGCAGCGACAGCCATCACCGAGGTGGCGTAGTCAATGGAACGGGCACGGGCCCAGTCAACGACGATCACGTTGTAATCGCCCTTGGACAGCCAGGCGGCGCGGATGCCCTTATTCATGCTCGCGACGTAGCTCTGGGTCCAGCCGTGGATGACGAAGCGGGTGGGGTGGTCAGCGTTGAAGTTGGATTTATCGACAGACTTGGTGGTGGCGGTGATCTTCGTGCCCTTGCTGGGGTTGGAGGAAGTGTACAGGTAGAACGAGACGGGCACGGTGGTCAGGCCACGGGACTCCAGGCGTTCCTGCTGCTCCATCCACTCATCTGCGACGTCCTTGTCCACCCACTCGAAGGTGCCGTCATACTGGGGAACGTACCAGCCGTTCTCGCCATTGACGCGGTCGGACTCCTCCAAAGCGTAGGCCGAAGCTGTGTGATATATTAGTAGTTCGTTAGTTAAAAAATAGCCATAAATATGATTCCAAGAACTTACCGGCCAGAGCACAGAATGCCAAAAGAATAAAGGTCTTCATGTTCCTTTTGGATCGACAACTGATTGCTGAATTGGTCGATGCCTCGCTCTTTTATAGGGCGAAACGGTGGCTACTTATCTGCGTGAGATTAGGCTCACTTGGTGGGGGACATTGCTACTTAGAATATGATAGCACCCACCGTGGCCCAGTGCTAGTATTTTGTTTTGTTTGGTTATTCCGAATCAGATGGGATATTTATCTGTTGATTGACTTTTCAATTGACTTTCATTCCGTGACATTTCGCGAATATTATTATTGTGGTGGGGTCTGGATCTGTCAAGTGTCTAGCCGGAATGTGCCCCATGGTAATTCCTGTTTATTTTGGGATCAATAAGACCCAATCGCGGTGAAAGTACGAGTACCTTAGACCTACCTGGGCCTCGAATCGCACAAAGATTGGTCGTAATCAGTCTATTTGTCGGCAGCTATTACACTGGCAGGCCCTCTGCCCACCCATGAAACCACTGACAACCACTGACCAACGTAATCTCATGTAAGCCACGCCGAGTGGGCTTAATTGTTTGTGTCGTTAAATGGGCATTTAATTTAACACTTCAATGCATTTGAGTTTACTTCGACTTGTCGTATCTCCCATTGGAATGGGGAAAGCCCTTCCAGCTTATGTTTTCCGTCTATAGTTCTGTTCGGTACATTTGACCTGGCAACTGGGCATTAATTGAGCTCTCGCTTCTGTTACCCCGCCCAGGTATCGCGATAATTGGGGTGCTTGAAAATAAATTACATCACTGTCCTTCATCGGGGAAAGAAAACTGTTGCCTACTTTCAGGCACATTTTAAATGGTCTGTAGGTTCGCTTTCACTGCGAGATTAATTCAATTAATAACGCAAATATGACCACGAAAAGGAAGAGAAACCACAATAATAAAAAATAAAGTTCCACCTGTTGTTTTATTTGCCTGGAGCTGCCTTTGTGGACACAGGACCGCAGAACCACAAGCCCCCAGGGAGTTGGGGGTTTGGGATTGGTGGCATCGAAGTCGATGACAGATTCAATGAACATTTCAAATTAATCGCATTTTGAAAAGTGTCGCATTTCATGTGGCACGTGCCCGGGGACTGATAAACGTTCGGCTGCGTTTGATTAAGCAAATTAAATGGCAACACGGGCCAATTTACATATCCAATTTGGCCCACGGGAAGCGTATTCACTTTGCTGGCATTTTGCAGGGCGGGGATTATGTCATCGTGAGTGGGCCACAGATCAGAGAAACATTTTGCGGTCTCTTGCGATAAGTTTGGCCACTGGTTTTGCCTTTTGTGTGGAGCCTCAAGCCGCAAATCTGGGGTCCAGCACACACGCATAATAGGGATTTGAGCCACAATAAAATTCAATTTCATCCTGGGGTCGGCAAAAAACAATAAATTCCTGTGCCCATAAATCAGCATTTGGGGCAAATAAATTTTGTTGCTCTTTTGTGGGGGCGCATTCAGAAGGCTTTCAGGGTGAAGGCTAACCATGTCATGAATATAATTCGCTTATCTGGCGGGGTGCTCGCGGCGCACCACATATATATGCCAACAGATGATTAACTAACTCAAGTAGAGCCGGCAACTTCAATCTTTATCCTCATATATGTATGTATAGGACGCTGCAGCGTACTTTTACTTTTACGGAAATTTGCACTTGCTCTCGACATGGGCTAATTGGGGCACAAGGACTGCCTGCCGGGCAGACGTCTCCGCATTTAAATACGAGACAGACAGAGCTATGCACTTGCCACACAAGCTACATCCCTTCCGTGGGGTGGCGGAGGGGAGGGCAGCCAACTACAATGTAGATGCTGTGGCTGTTGACTTTGCCCCGAGCAAAATTGCGCCTGATGGCTGCTCATTAATTATAATTACAAACATGCCGCAAAAAGTGGCAAAACGCTGTGATGACATTGCCAAAGATAAATGCGGCTTTTGGGGTTTGAGGTTAGAGCAGTCATGAATGAAGAGCGAGAAAAAGAGACAAGCGGCAAGCCGAGAAAAAAGGCAAAAGAGTTCAGCAAAAGTTACTTTTTGGTCTTGGCTGTGTAAATATTTAGCTGCGAAATTCCACAAGCATTTCCTGCCCCCCAAAGGACGCAGCTTTGTGGACCGTTTGCTGGCTATTTGGCAGCAGCTGGATACCAACTGGTTTCCACTGCAATGCCATTGAATCTAGGTAACTGCATTTGGAAGCGCCTCGCTTTGTGGCTACCCGCTGTTTGGGGCTCTTTCGAAGGTATTTTCACCAACAAAGTGGGCAATGAAAAGATTTACACAAAGTCCTAGGCTTTCCGCTTTAACTTTTGCTTTTAGCGCTGCTACAGGAAGCTGAACATTTAATTTATGGAATACCTTTCAGGTCTCAGCTAATTTAATTTACGATCAAAATCTTAATAGATGTTTGCCCCTCACAAAGTTTTAACGCGGTTCTCGCACCTTGACACCTTGTGCCCGGAGTAAGTGAAATGTTTTCAGTGGGCTTTATGTGTTTTGTTTTATTAATGTTCGCTTAGTTAATCATGCCGAAGGGGGAGTTGCTGTTCACGGGCACATAGAAGTCACCGGCAACCATGTAGGCATTGGTGTCGGCTCCCATGCGGACGCTGCTGTAGGTGCTGCCGCACTGGTCGTTGACAGCGGCCTGGTAGTCGCCGCACTTGATGGTTCCGAAGTTGTCCTGGGACACGGCCTCGGCGTAATAGGTGGTGGAGCGGCCGTGCGAGCAGGCGCCAGTGACGTCCAGGAAGCAGCCGGGCTGGGTCTGGCCGCCGTTGGGGTAGAAGGCGCCCTTGCCGATGGGCTTCAGGAAGCCGAGGGTGCCGCCGTTGGTCTGGATTGACTCCACATACCAGGCATCGGTGGAGCTGAGACGCTTGTTGGGCGAGTTGTAGCTGAAGAGGGGCAGGGCGGGGTCCAGACCGATGATGGTGTGCACCTGGCCGTTGGTGTTCTTGCCGGCGTAGCCAGCAACGTGGGCTCCGAGACTGTGGCCAATGACGTAGAGGTTGTCCAGGGACATGCCGTAGTCCGAGTTCAGGAAGTTGATCATCTTGGCGACCTTCTTGCCGGTGGCAGCGACAGCCATTACCGAGGTGGCGTAGTCAATGGAACGGGCACGGGCCCAGTCAACGACGATCACGTTGTATTCTCCCTGTCCCAACCAGGCGGCGCGGATATCCTTGTTCATGCCCGCGGTGTAGCTCTGGGTCCAGCCGTGGATGACGAAGCGGGTGGGATTGCCGGCGTTGAAGTTGGATTTATCGATAGACGTGGTGGTGGCCTTGATCTTCTGGCCCTTGCTGGGGTTCGAGGAAGTGTACAGGTAGAATGTGACGGGCACGGTGGTCAGCTCACGGGACTCCAGGCGTTCCTGCTGCTCCATCCACTCATCTGCGACGTCCTTGTCCACCCACTTGAAGGTGCCGTCATACTGGGGAACGTACCAACCGTTCTCGCCATTGACGCGGTCGGACTCCTCCAAAGCGTAGGCCGAAGCTGTCAGATATAATAGTAGTTCGTTAGTTAAACAATAATACAGACTTATGATTTGAAGGACTTACCGGCCAGAGCAAAGAATGCCAAAAGAATAAACGTCTTCATGTTGTTTCAGAATGGACAACTGATAGCTGAATATGGCGTTGCAACGGTCTTTTATACGCCAAAGCTGGCCGCTTATCGGCGACTGATTAGAGTCACTTGGAGGTGGACTAACTACTTGAAATATATCTGATAGCACCCCCCGGTGCAAATGGTTCTTGCGGTTTTGATGGAATGCTGATTGAGATAGGATATTTTTGGCCGTATTGTCAATCAATTGCGCTCCATAATCAAATGCTTCAGTTTCTCACGATGGTCTGCGAAAAGTCTTAGGGCTTCCCCTTTAATATTTTGTATCTTTTTTTCGCCATGTTTTTTTTCCATTTTACTTTTCTCCCTGTAGCTCTTGTGAAAATTGAATTTATGAAATACCATTTAAGCTTTTGTCAGCCACCTGTTTTTTTCTGATTTTTCGGGGAAAGCCTTTGTTGTTGGCCGCTGCTTTTCCAGCAAACAGAATTTTCAGTCTAAGAGCCCGCTAAACAGAATTACGCGCCAACTAAGCCCAAAGAATCTGATTTTCTTCCCACTCCATTCCCAGCCGCCTCCTGGCGGTGCTTTGTCTGGGTATCTACGATGTTGTTAGGCTTTTTGTGTGGGACACACATATATTCCCATTTTTGTACGTGATTCTTGTCAATATTTTGCATTTTATTTCCATGTTCCTTCGCCGGCCTGCGGGCGCTGCTTCCTCTTTTAATTTCGATTCGGTGCCTGGTTTTCTCAATATTTTGTTGTATTTTATTGGCTGAAGCCGTTCGCATATTCAACGGCAGAGGGAGTGCTGCTCGCCAGCGTGTAATTATTTTGCGTGCTTTTGGCATTCAGGGCACATTTTTCGATTCTTGTAAATACAAATACAAAATTGATGAGCTGTTTATTAATCAACTGCCAAACCAGCGTCCTATGCATGTACGTATCGATGGGAAAATTGGCTGCCGCATGTTTAATGATGTGCGGCCTGGAATTTTGTATGCAAGTAGGCCAAGGGCCCATAACTAAAATTAAAGCGTATATGAAACATAATTTTGGGGCTGGAACAAATTTCAAATCAGAATTCGCTTGATTTGAGTATCTTTAAGCCCTGATACGCTTTAAATGTTGTAAATATCAAAAATAATATACGCAATATTGAGTTGGAGCTTTTTAATGCATCATACGTTTCCATACAGCTGTTAAATAAGTTCTTTCAGACTTCAATTTATGCCTTTATCGCTGTTCCAAATAAATCCCAATCACATTTTGGCCAGGACTTGGATTCATTTCAATTTTAATGAATTATTAAAATTCCTGACGTTTTCTTTATTTTGTTTTCTACGAGCCGTATACGTTATGTTTTTTCTGCAAGTCAACTAAGGGAGCAACTCTGTTTTTTTGTGTTTTTATTGCTATTAAAATAAACACCTTATTTTACTGGCTGAAGTATCACAAAATTTTGTATTGAGTTTCTGCCATGCTTATCGGAAATCTCAGATAAAATGTTTAGAATGTTTATCAGGAAATTCCTCAACTTTTGGCCGGAATGAGCAGCGGAGTCCTGAGTCCTGGATGCCATGTCAAACCTTTTAAATCCGCCCAAATGTGTATTGGGATTTGCTGGCATACATCCGGGGGCCGAGGAATGTGGCAAGATAATTGATAAAAATAAAAAAACAGAAGGCACATGCTCGCCAGGAAGAGTAAGTGAAGGAATGAAAACAAGCGAGTCACGAACATACTCAGGCACTCGGAAGGGTCCCATTCCGACACCGTCGAAGGCCTCATTATTGCGCTGAGATAAGCAATTTACCCACTTGATAACCTTATCCCGCCCTTGCAGCACTCCTCATTGGATCTGGCTGCTGGATGATGGGCCATGGGGCGATGGGCGATGTCTGATGGGTGGCCGGAAGAAGGCAGCGTCTGTCAGTTGTTGTCGGAGTTTATTCAAGGAGATATTAAAACCAAGTGAGCTGAACTCAAATGATATGAAATTAAATGAGATGAGATCCGAAGAGATGCAGAAGGCAGAAGGCAACTTGTCAACGTACCAAAAGGCAAAAGTTTAAATTACCAAGTACTTTTGCCCCTGCACACATATGTGGCACATATATACATATGTTTATGGCCCTCGTGCTGTTCTGTTAAAATTTTCGATTTCTGGGTAGACTTTGCTTTCGATGGGTTGCCATTTGGCATTGATAACTGTAAGCTTTAAATTAACTTTCGTGCTTCAAATTTTGGGCTTATTAAATCATATCTCGAGTGGCCTAAGAAACAGCAGCTTGAAAACGTACGAGAATTTGAACACACATGCATAAATATACAACTGCTAATTAAGTTGTCTTTTTGACAGAAATTATTGATACAGAATGATCTTTTAGATGTGGGGAAACAGCTTGTAGAGCCCATTTTAATTAATTTATTAATGCATTGTTCCTGTTCTTGTGAAACCTTCCCGTGCCACTCCTTCGTTGTCTCTTGAAACAAAAGAACATTTCAATGGGTTCCTTGTACATATTGTCAGCCATTGTTTGAATCTGGAAAGTGTCAATCTGCGGTTGTATGTATGCCGTATGCTTAGGTCCCTTGAACGACCCTTCGTAGTTCGATTCAGTTGTCTAAACGCATAAATGGGTAGAGCAGGCCAGATAAAAATGCATAAATTCCCTTCTTTATTATGCCGAAACTCTTATACCGAGTGCTGCCCGCAAGTATGCAATGCTTTTTGTTCAAGCAGATTAGCCAAATTATTAAGTAGCCGCAATGTAGTGCAGCACATTTTGAGATTCCCGCTAATTGCAGCTCCAACTTTTTACTTGCAGATTGCCAGCGATAAGAGCGACAGAGGGGAAACTTTGAAGAGCGTGGATTTTTGGCCAGAATGCTGACGAGCACTACAAACCGCTAGGAACCCGCAGCACAAGGAGACAGAAAAGTTTTCAACGACTGGAAGTTGCCCTAAGAGTTTGCGGCTCTCCACAACGCGCTTGAATGGAGTTCGACAATGGCTTGCTGTGGCAGAGCCAGCGGGTGGCGGTGCCCGGTGGCAGCGAGCTCAGTGACGAGCGACTCTACTACATAGCCCCGCAGCAGCCCCTGCTGCGCAACATGGCGGAGGATGACTACCCGGACGGCTCCATCTCACTGACAGACTCAGCCTCGCTTTTGTACAATGCCACAGCCGGCTCTGGGGAGCTGGAGGTGCGCGATGCGGAGGCGGTCTACAGTTATGCATCAACGACCACGCTCAATGGCCTGGACTTTGAGCGCTTCAATGTCACGGTCCTAATGAACTTCAGCTGCGAGGAAACGGACTCCTCGTCGGATGACGTCTGGTCCAGCGTCTACTTTAAGAGCACCGTCTACCTGCTGTACATTCCCATCTTTATTTTCGCACTGATCGGCAACGGCACCGTCTGCTACATTGTCCAGTCCACGCCGCGCATGCGCACCGTCACCAATTACTTTATCGCCAATCTGGCGCTCGGCGACATCCTGATGTCCCTGTTCTGCGTGCCCTCCTCCTTCATCTCGCTGTTCATCCTCAACTACTGGCCCTTTGGCATTGTGCTCTGTCACTTTGTCAACTACTCGCAGGCGGTCTCTGTGCTAGTCAGCGCCTACACTTTGGTGGCCATCAGCATTGATCGATACATAGCCATCATGTGGCCCCTCAGGCCACGCATCACAAAGCGGTAAGTGCGAGCAGACAGACGGTTGCTTGCTCGTTGAAGGCATTTCCAGCTAAATGATTTTCCACCCACACAATGCCATGGAAGTTGCTAAATGCCAACCAACTATTATTTCCTTGGCTTGGCTTGGGAATCAGCGCATAAATTAGGCAGCAAACAGTTTACGAGACGCTTTTTATTGCCAGTAAAATTAATTGAATAGTTTTTGCTAAGCACTGGAAACAATTGTAGGGCTTGTACTTTGGGAATTCCTACTTAAATATTCAATTACAGAATATTTTTCTAAGCACGCTGACTTTTAGCTCCACTATATAGCTCACTCGTTAGCTCAAGTACTTCCTTCAACTATTTTAGCCAAGTGCCAAGTCTCGACCGTTAAGTGGCCGCTTGGCTATTTGCATTGCGGGGCCCACTTTGGTGTCTACTTGACCGAATCGCTGGTCTCCAGGGAGGCGGCGTCAATGGCTCGTCGGCTCGTGTTAATTGGTTTAAATAGTAATCCAAGACCCTGACGCTGCGTAAAATCCAAAAAGGCAGCCATTGCCGGACCGCATTGAAAACGTCAATTTGCTTGGTAACTAGATACGAAACGGCATTGCCATTGGGGGGCACTCGACCATCAGCCGGTGTCACTCTCACTGCCATCCATCGCCAGTGGAGCTGAAGAGCTCTGGCGTGAGTATTTCACGCCCGGGCGACTTTTAATGGAGGTTCAACATGCCTATGAGTGTTGGTGGTGGGGGTGGTGGTGGGACCACAGCCTACGTCAGTGTGCGTGTGTGTGGGGATGGGAGTCCTGTTGTGCAAATATTTGCGCGGCCATAAAGTAAATACGGTTCATAATTATTCAACGTGACTGTTATATGTATACGCACACGCAACGACGCCACGGCCACAGCCACAACCACTGCTACTGCCAGCCAACCCTACCGCACCGCACGGCCGTAAATGCTCGCTTATCACGCTCACTAGGCGGATAAGCTGCCGGAAGGACAGACCGCACCGGCATCACTCATACGTCACGGGTGTGTGTCGGGAAATTTCAAACTGTTTAAGAATTTACGAAGGCATTTTTCAGCGTGATAGGGGGAGGGGTAGGTGGAGGGTGGAGGCTGAGATAAGTGGGAAGCATTCGTATAAAAATAGCATAAAGTTTAAATATTTACGAGACGAATCAGATGTACTTATGAGCCACTTATAAATTTTTGTTCTCTCTCTCGTTTCAGTTATGCTAAATTTATCATTGGCGGTGTTTGGTTTATTGCACTTGCCACCGCGTTTCCCATACCCGTCGTCTCCCGCCTCGTTCTGCCCTCGTCGGCGTGGCACGAGAAATGCGAGAAGTAAGTACCGCCGCCACTCGAAACAATGAACAGCATCCTCCAGTGTTTGTTTGCCACACATCCGTCTTTAGCTGCTCTGTGTGTGTGTGGGTGTCACTTTGACTGTACCAAATGTAGCATTAAAGAAATGACTTCGTGCGTGGATGGATGTTTGGGGCATTATACTTGACTGCCGCCATTCGGAAGAACTTCAACTTTAAGAGAATCCACCCGCTTGAGCGGCTGACAGCGCTCACTCTTGAGTGGCGTGCAAATAAAAAATATTACAAGCATTTTTCTTATTGTTCCTCCCCACAAATCAGGGTGGACAGGAGGTTGGAGGGTGGAGCTGGGATCAAGTATAATGTAAATGCAAATAGGAAACTCATCTGCAGGCTGCTTGCTTACCCTCAGCTATGCTCCGCCATGGCAGGTCATGGCAGGCACGTTATAAAAGCTAAATGTCATGTCTAATTGCGACAACAGTGCGACAGGCTGCCCCCCACCCATTATCCGGCAGCAGGACCCTCAAGAACAGATGCCGCCCTGTAGCTGCACAATGCTCCAGCATTTTGTATGATAAAAACCTTCTGCTGCAACAATTTAACAGTTCCTTCATGACCGGGCCTCGAGTGGCATGCAGCTCACGGTCAGACGAAGGGCTTGCATTTTTCGGTAGATTCCATTTTCCGGCATTGTTTTTGCTGGCAAAGAGCTAAGCATAAAAATTAAATGGCCCACTCAGCCATGAATGCGGGTGGGTCCGTGTATCCGTGCATCCCTTGTGTGACAGTTGGATGCTGAGAGCCAGCAGATTCCTCCACGCAGCCCATACGAGTACGAGTACGAGTAGTAGCCCCCCACCACTAATGCTTTTGTCTCTCGTTCTATGGCCTGCACGCAAACCTCTTTGTGGCTAAACCAAACTCAGATACATCTGCCGCGAGATGTGGCCGTCCAGCGATCAGGAGTACTACTACACACTGGCCCTCTTCACGCTGCAGTTCGTCGTGCCGCTGCTGGTGCTCATTTTCACCTACACACGCATCGCCATCGCCGTGTGGGGCAAGCGGCCGCCTGGGGAGGCGGAGAACTCGCGGGACCAGCGCATGGCGCGCTCCAAGCGCAAGGTAAGTCAATCATCTGCCCTGCCAACCGCAAAAACTAATTTACTCCAAAAAGGGGACCAAGCCATTAGTCTGGGCTTAGTCCTTTGGCTGTACATCGGAAATTGGGGTTGGGCGGGGCAAGTACAAGACAATTGCTTGTATATTTCCCTCTGCCTGTATATTTTTTGTGCTGCGTCCTTCAAGGGTCCTTCAATATGCTAAAATGTTTTCCCATTTGCCGTGTTTACGTGCCTCTGGCACTGGGCATTCGTGGAACGTGTTTCTATGGTACATGCAACTGGCATTGTTCGGATGATTCCTGATTGAAATGCAGCTCAAAAAGAATTCTAGGAACTTGAGTCCAGCTCTGGGAATGGCAAAGGAATTAATCTGCTGGAAGGAATTGAATAAAGTTTTTTATTATGATTCAACATTTGACAACTTCATTTTGAATCTCCCTCTCTGCCTCGTCCACTCGTTGCATAAGTTACAACAAAGACTCAATCGATGCGAGGCATCTTCTTTGAGTTTTTTTGTTGACTTTAAAGTTTAACCCCAATAGCAGCACCTTGCCACTGCCTCAGCACCCTCGAACGCGAACGCGAACTTAGGCGTCCGCAGAGGCTGCTCGAGCCTTGCCACACGACGACGGCTGTCGAAGCAGCAATCTTCAAATTGATTTTGCATTTTTTTTTTTTTTTTCTGGGGTCAATGAGGAGCAAGCGTGGCAAGGCTGGCTTCCTGCTCCGCCGAACGGCTGTCGTGGGCTTGGGTACGGGTTTTGGGTATGGATTTTGGGTTTGGTTTTCGAAGCTTGGGCTGAGGCTGAGGTTGAGGCTGAAGCTGAGGCTGGGGCTTTGGCAGCGTGACAAATGGCATGTAATGCTCACATAATCACACGGCGCATGCGCAGCAACTATTTACAATAAACTTGCAGAGCTGCGGCCAAATGAATGAGTAGAGATTTATGCGGTGCACCTCGTACTTGGTACATGGCTCTCCAAAAAGCCTATCCACTTGCCAGCTGGAGGCCTAGGCTTAGGCTGCTGCTGCTGCTGTGACTTCGACATCGTCTTCAACTTCGGCTGCGTCTGAAGATGGCATCCAGCATTTTGTGGTCTTCCAGGAAATCATTGCAACTGCAACTCGCGAGTGCTGGTGCGGGTCGGGTGCTGGTGCGGGTGGAATGACGACCACGTAACCAGTTGTCAAACGAGCCCCCTCGGCCTGTGGCCAATTGTGCAGCTGAGATTCCTCTGCCAGACGACGACGAAGACACAAAGAAAGCCTGATACTTAGCTGAGAGTGAAAATTTGTATGCTATCGATGAAGATGACGACCTTTCCTGGCCATTGGCTCGCACAGCTGGACGAAGCTCCTCTCTCTTTGGCTGGCAATCAAAAGCGACGCTGCAATATGTACTTGTGGACATCCGTCAGTTGGCAGTAATTATAATCGCCATATTTGAGGGAGAACAAAGACAGGGCCGAAACGCGAGACCAATGACAGGGACTCCGTCATCTCCCATCGTACAGCGGCGCGACGCGACGCGGCAGCGGCTGACAGTTTCGCCCACTGCGGTGCAATGTTACCCAATTCGAGCCCGAGGCGACGACGGGCTGCAGCTTCATCTGCCATTCACTTTTTTGTTTCGATTCATTTGGCCTCCTCATCGCCCTCCTGCGATGGCTGTTGCCTGAGTTGACCATCCTTCGATGCAGTTTCCCCAAAAAGTACGAGTAGCTTCAAACAGTTATTTGGTTACTTAACCCGGCAACAATTTCTGCTGAATTGGATCTCTCATTTTCTCATGGCCAGCCATGGCCTCCCTCTCCCTTCGTTCGCCTATCCAACGCCCCCCTGCTGCCAGCCTGTTGACAGTTTCCTCCTTATGTGTGTGTCTGTGTGTGTGTGTGTGTGTGTGTGTCTTATGTCTTTCAAACATTTCTGCCAATCGCCAGCTGAAATGATTAGCAAATTACTCGTACCACTCGTACTGGCTCTCCCCAAGGGGTACTCGTCTTTGAGCTTCACTTTTCGTGGTGGCTTCCTCGTGGTCGTAATTGTCGTCTTGTTGTTAAATATCAATTGAAAATTACAGGATTATTTGGTCATCTACCAATTAATTGTTGCTTAGCGATGATTAGTGGTTCGGCTTTGTTGGCGTATACGTGATGTCATTGGGGCACAGAAGGAAGATAGAAGTGAAAGGTTGTGGCAACATTTTGAGTGGGAAAAAGTATCTAAATCTATCTATGAATATTCTATCAAAGAGTGCCAGTACCTTCACTCACTCGATCATCAATGCGCTGAGCCATTACCTCTCCTTCACATATTCCCTTGCATTCAACAATCGTTTGCCCGCAGGTGAATTTCCATTTATCATTGCATTCATAAATTGCATTCCCTTTGCGGCCCTTTGTCAATATTTGTCAAGTGTTTCCGAAATTCGTTTGCACGAGTTGCAAATCACAGTCCATCTAATTGCTGGGAAACACCACCCCATAGCCCTCCCTGTAGCCCATGCAAAATGGCAAAACAATCAGCCGCCATATGAGTCTGCACTGAAGTGGCGGGCAGGGCAAACGAAGGCAGGGCAGTATTATTGCCGACCTGGGGCGATGACACTTCACAGTTGTCAGAGCCGCAGGCGATTGCAACTTTGAATTGAGTATCACTATATTTTTTTTTACTTAGTTAGTTTTTTTTTGCATACCCCCAACAGTTGTTGGGCCAGGCAGCTGGCCTGGTCGTCGCCCAGGCCGGAGGCGACTGCCTCTTTGACTGCATCTTCGCGTGCATTTGAGTCTGTTTTGTCAACGTGTTGGCCGATACAACAATGTGTAGGAAACGTGGCTCATTTGGCTGGGGGATGCCTGTGCCGATTGCTTCTTGTTTGGATGTAAAACGTTAATTGCATAATTGACTGCAAGCTGCAAGAGGCGTAACGTACGGCCCGAAAGTGTTCATGTATTGGCCATCATCAGCAGCATCATCATCATCATCCTGATAACTGAGCCCCCCTGTGGATGGCCTGGCCCGTCCCGATGCTCGCTGACCATGCCACGAAACAAAGACTGATGACCCATCGCCAGACATGGGCAGGTCCAAAGAGAGGCGGACACTGCACAGTGCCGCAACGGGTTCCCATTTGCAGTTTTATTTTCATCCATTTTTATTTCTCCGGCTGCAGACATTGCAACGCCACTGCAACGCAGTCGCAGTCGCAGTCTTCTCTTTCTGTTGAATTGTGTTAAAATGTTAATTTCGTATTACGTAATCTGTGTCATATCCAGCAAGCAGCATCAGGCACCCAGTGAGGCAGGCAGCTGGGATCTTCATCATCAGCAGCAGCAGCAGCAACGGCAGCAGCACCCATACCGACACAATGGGCGGTGCATGTGAAAAAAAGTGAGAGGATTCCCATGGCCTGGCCAGTGGATCTGCTTGCAACTGCTGACTCACACAAACATACACACACAGAGATACACCCACACACACAGGGTTGCACTTTGTGCGTTTTGTGGCAAATTAAAAGATAAAACTCACCGATGCATCAGCAGGAACAGCTGCAACAGCAACAACTTCAGCAACAGGCTGCAATTAGTCGCCCCCCTTCTGCAGTTCGTTTATCTCGCAGCTCTCCATCTGTATGTTCCTCTCTCCATCTGCCTCTCTCCCTCTCTGCAATTCCGGTTCTGCCCCAAGACTTTTTCCATGATACTTTTGGGCCCTTTCCCTGTCATTGATTTATTTTTCTACAATTTGTTAGCCTCTACCCAGTTGACGTGAAATTGCAGTCTGGCGTTTGGCCTACAAATATTCCTAATTCATTCTCCAGAAATTGTGCAAAAATTGTGGCTGAAATATTGCCAGCAATAGCCCATGGTAAATATTTGCTTTTAGCTTTTGCTGTGGCTGGCAAGCCAGCAGTTTGCTGTGGCCAAGTGCTGTATGCTAACTCAATTAGGTATTGATATATGCACTTTTACCACTGATCAAATGGGTAATTGGACGTTCAAATAAGTTTGGAAATTGTGCTGCAATTTGAAATTAAATTGTTGCTTGCAAAACGGATTAGCACACTGGAAATTAATGGAACATATGTATCCATTGTCGTAGCTAAAAGTTAACACAATGAAGTGGATTTTCCAACTGAGAAGTTGCAACTTTGGAAGAGTCTCTGGAGTATACTTTTTTGGGCGCTAAATCGGGAACTTATACAATTAAATGACAGCTCATTTATACTCTTATATGTCCCATAATTTACACATAATATAATCTAATGATTTACTTTTCGATCTTATGCAAAACTTTTTCTTGGACTTACTTTAAAAATTCTAAGGACTTTCCCTGGTCAAAGTTTCTCTGCTGTTTGCGCCTAATGATTTATGACTCCTGTGGATATTTGGCCAAACATTGACATTCCTTATTCATCATTATTCATTCCACAGCCCACCATTCGCATCCAGTTTTGTAGTGGAATCATTTCCTAATGAGCATTGCATAATGTCCATTCTGGCTCATTGACGGCTTTGGGCCGTCGTGTCGCTCGGTGTCCATCAATTATTGAGCAAACACGTAGAAAGACATTAACATTAACATTCGATTTTATGGGCCGTTTCCACCGAAACTCTGTTTGCCCTCGACTATAAAATTTATCCGTCTGCCATTTCGGGCATTCGTTTTTCTCTACTCTTCTCCGCTCGTTTTTTTCTTTTGTGTAATTTCTGCTTAAATCAATAAGACTAAATGCCGTGTTTATTGTGGCGCAACGGTGCAGGAGTTTTGCCTGCCGGACTGCCGCCGCCAGCGCGGTGTTGGCGACCATAAATTAACCAATTAATGTCCGTAAATTAAACAGTGCCAGGCTCAAGGAACTCCGACTCCGACACATTAGTACTATGTAGATAAATTTCAGTGCGGTTCTTGCAACGCTTCCAAGGAGAATACAGATCCCAAAACTGTCTGAGATACTGCTTCAAATGCTGTGCTCAGCTCTGGCAAGCGAGGGGCATCCT